ATCGATCGTGACACGACTCGAGGATCGTCATTCTCAGCTCCACTAGTCGCGGGGCTCTCAACAACCAACCTCATCGCAATAGTTTCCTATTTATCGACCGTACTGGACTTGGAATGTCCTCGAATAGGCAATCGTTTTGTTATCCAGAATCCTCTCTTCGCTGGTGTCGTCACGCATTTCGCCCCTATCATTCAGGTCCTTCGCAGCGACGCTCACAGACACCTCGGTGCTGCCTGCTCCGACCTGCTGCTCACCGCTATCGGCTCTTAAGCCTCCCATCTCGACCGAGTCAAACTGCGCATAACCTGTTCGTTGCTGCCAGTGTGGCTTGACCTGCGAGCCGTCGGCGTATTTGGCTGATCGCGAGGGTCGAGAAGTGCCAAACGAGGAGCCCATGAGCTTGGGGGCGAAGCGTTTCAAGAACTTCCGGAATGTGGGCATCGAACCGCACATAACGAAGAGATTGACCTCCACGAAACTGAATAGTGTCAGTACATTCGATCATTGCTTTCATTTCCGGTCGTCAGAATCAGTGACTTACGACCAAACATTGGCGGGGGCAGCAACCCATGGAATGTCAGAGGATCCGAGGAGGGACGGAAGATATACCATCCGCACGACCGACGTTGCTACAGTCCTTTTTTTTTCTATCAGTAACAAGAAATAATTCATCTCGGGACACTGAGGGGCAAGTCCTACACCGAACCAACGCCGAACATGATGCCCGCCCCGATCTTTTGAGCCAGTGGCATCTTCAATTTGATGATTGTCGGAATTGGTATCACGAAAAGAACAACGTCGGACACAATGTTGGCTACAGCGATAGCAATGTATACCACGGGAAAGTCGACACATTTCCCCGTAGCGTAAGGGTCCCACGCAGACCGGATCGGCTTGCATCCGAAAAGTAGCAACCCCGCAATGGTGACAGTGTAGCTGGCAACCATGGCGATGGCAAACCAGATGATGATATTGAACCACCTCTGCGGCGAAATTCGAAGGTATAGTGTTAGGAGTGAGGTTTTGCTGAGGCCATTACAGGTGATGAAGATCGGGGCGGCAATGTAAGAACTCTGCCAGCCGCCATTATTAGCTTGGAGTCAAACAGGACTTTGAAAGGTGGAACGCTTTACCAGCATGTGTTTTTCGAACACATCGATTGGCATTTCCCAAGCATGATGCCCCAAACCACCAAGTGAAATGGACCCTGAGAGACGGGGGTTTAGCCATCGTACGACTGCGCTAGGTGGGAAGCCAAACGTGACTTACAGATCTGGACCGACTGCATCACCACAGAGGCCATCTGCCTTCGAGTTAATCACTACAATCCATCTTCGCACATCATATCTTTAGCGTACCCATGCAAAAGTAATCAAGACTGTGGATGCCCCTGGTTAGTGCCAGACGAGAATTAGAGCACTTGACGTAGGAAGGGAGACTGACCATCGTCAACTTGTAAGCCGCCCGCCAGAGCCTGCTTCGTGTACAGCCTCTGCATCAAGCAAACGAGCGCCGTGGATCCGAGTACGCCAAAAATGAAAAAGTGGTCAACCACGTTCTGATGCTGAGGCTTATCAAAGTTCACTTCATAGCCGTCCGGCGGTGATATGAAAGTTGTGACACCGTTGGTCACTGGAAAGGACATGACGTTGATTGCTGCACGCCGAAAGAGACGCTACGAGGTAGATGTAGACGATAGGCAAGCTACGACAGTATCAGAATGAAGAAATTTCAGAATTTATGAGGTTCGTGGCTCAGGACCTAATTTTGGGGGAATAGATCGCCACGACTTCTCGATGGTCGAAATCCTCCTGAAGAACCAACCCATGACGCTGGTTGAATTCTTCGCTGTGCACCCTGGGAACGAAGCCCAAATCCATGTCGAGAGTCTTCCTCACGTCGACCACCAGTTTGATACCAAAACAAGGGTAGATGCTGCGGAGTTTTCATGACCGTTGGTCTCCCAGATGCGATCAGCACAACGGCACCTCCTGCATTGGACGAATGCCGCTGCTGCGCCGCGCAGCGGCAGCCAAGGGATTAAACTTTACGCACAAGAGATTGCCCTTCGCCAGGCGAAGGAGTTCCAAGCCCACAAGTGCGTCTCACAGCAATTATTGTCATTCCCGTCTTGCCCTTTCGTGTCAGGGGTTGTTGACTCGCGGCCCAACCAAAAGCCAAGAAAGCAACTCTGTTGGCAAATTTGTATGCAGTTGGTTATTGAAGCCCCGGAGCGCAGGGGTTGTCGGAGGCCGGAACAGCCAACCCCTGTTTCCGGCGTCTCTTCCCGACTTTTCGGCCGGGGGTGGGATCAGGGTCCTGTTCTGGACCTTGGACCACCGTGGAAACCCGCTGTAGAAGCGGGATTTGTTGATGATAGTAAGATTTCTTCAGACCTTCAGTCCGCCGTTGCGTTCAAGTTGTGCTGCGGGCCTAAAAGCATGTCACTATGTTCACTGTTGAGACGAACGAATTGAGAGACCGGTCGTCAACGTTTGATGACCCTTCTCTTGCCTGCAATGGAGCTGATAATTTTGATGAGGAGGACAATGTGAAGGCCACATCAGAGCCATCGCCGCCGTGTTCAGACCGAAAGAGCCACGACAAGACAAGCCTCTCCGCTTGGCGATGCCCCTTGCCGTCGGATGTCATCGATTGTATATGGCCAGACTTTTGTCAACCCATGCTTCAACTCTGCATCTAGCCCTGTCATTCTGCAAGTGACGACCAACAAGCACACTCGCCCCTGTCCTGACAAATATCACACAGCTCGGTGTTTGGATTATCAAAAGCCACCCCGTTGCACTCTGGAATTTCCCATAATTCCTCGTCTCCCACGTGTGCAATCTGTCTGCGAGCCAATCTTCCCCTAGAACCTGTCAGCCCAAACCAACGGACCACCGTCGCCCTCCTCAAAGAAAGCAATGGCCCGCGTCAACTCGATGCTCGCCGTCGCGGCGGCGGCACTGTTCGGCGCCACGCTCGCCACGTGCAAGAGCAACACCGGCCTCCTGCAGATGGTGACCTACGTGAAGCGTCACCCAGACTTCACGCGCCAAGAGTTCTGGGACTACTGGCAGACGCAGCACGCGCCGAGGGTCGCGCCCCTGGCCGCGCACTTCAACATCAGCCGCTACCAGCAGGTAAAAGCAACCACCATAGCCCCTTGACCCCTTCCTTGCTCTGTCGTCACGTTGCCGGGTCTTGAAGATATTTCCTTCTTCTAACACATGGTCCCAACGCTCAGGTCCAGGTCGGAGGCAAGATCCCCGCCACCGTAGCCGGCGCCGCGGAGCCCGTGTCGAACGAGCTCGTCGACTTTGACGGCATCGCCATGTTCCTGTACGAGGCGCCCGAGGTCCTCGGCGCCATGCTCTCGCACCCTTACTACACCGCCGTCGTTGAGCCCGACGAGCACGTCTTCATCGACAAGTCGGCGCCGGGCAACGGCATGGTCGCGACGCACATTGGCAACCACGTCGAGGTCGTCGATAGGGCGAGGGACGTCTGGGTGGGAGACGACGCCACGCGTATTAAGTTCCAGCAGCTGTTCGACTCGTATGCGTAGAGGAGGCGTCGCACCTGGGGGAGGCGGACACGTGGGAATTCATGTCAATACTTCATGTTTACAAGAGAGGACGTTTAAGGGCTTTTGGCGCTGAGAAGACAATCATTGTCGTGCCATAGAGCTTGAGTCTTTAAGGTTCTCTCCAACGTACATGTATACCTTATGTTTGGGTGTTCGAATAAGGGGCCGTGGGTCTGGGTAATGTGGGGAGGTATCTCAACAGGGGACGAAGTAGAGGGTTCAATCCGAGAAAGACATCCCATCAGCACGACAATGACAGACAATTCAGCTAGATGTAGTGCCTCGCCCAGGGCCTCAGAATAGCTTACTCAACACAGAAACTTGAACAGCTACAAACAATCAAGAATAGATGAATGAATGGTGAAATGTAAGATGCTCTGCAAGAACATCCCTTGGGAGTGCTCCTGAAGGGTCAATCGAAGGGTCAGGTTCGCAGTTTGCACCCCCTCCCCTTACCAGAGAACGTGCCCCGCGGATCGTCTTCCATCTACCCGAGCGGTGATCGCCTTTCCCCCAAAAGGCTGACTGACACAGGCTGCCCGCCAGTTCCAGAACACACCTAATCTATCAAACATGAGCTACCATCGATAGTGTGCTCGAAAAGTCGATCTCGGTATCTCGACACCAAGCACTGCCGCCCCGCCACGCGCAGTGTCACATGGAGACTTCCCAAAGCAGTCAGCGGGCCTTGATTGACCCTTCTCACCAAAGCCTTAAGACGCCCAGTATTGGACTATAGGACAACCTCACCCAAAGATGTGTGTCGGTCCGTCCACCGACCTGCAGCGTTGCCGTCTCATCACATCCTCTGGGTAAATGCACTCCGGCAGTTCGACATTATCCTACCGACAAAACCTGCCGGCCGGCTGGGCCTCGGGAACGCTGAGCAAGGGGGCAGTGAGGGGAGTGACATCGTGGCCTGAGCTGCCGGCGAGAGGCAGCTTTGGGCGCCGGGTAATCTGCTCAGCCGGCCGAAGACCATGCGGGGGTCCGGCCGGCTTAATCAGGCCTTTAGGCGCAACTTGAGATCCGTCTACAATGGCCGGCCTGTCCGGCACGAGCATTGTCCCATATGAGAGATCGGCTCCGCGCCGGGTGTTTTGATCGGAAGCATTACAGGAAGACAAGGCGTGAGGAAACAGGGCGCTTTGTTCAGAGGGACATGGGCAGCACAACTCATGGACCAGCAAGAAAACCCAGAATTCAACTTGATTCTTTCTACTCCTACCCAAAACTGACCACTGAATCTTTACGCTGGTATTATTTTCTGTTCGTTGTTGCTACTCTATGCTGGACTCCACCTCTCTTTGCAAAGGCTCTTCATGCAACGCTATGCTTCAATCTTCTCTAATGGCGTTGTCGTTCCCTTGGATGGAGACATGCTGTAGGGCGCCTGAATACGTTAGTCGACCTAATGTTGCGAGTCACGAATCGCGAGACTTACCAAGACTTGCTTCGCGTTGCAAATCCGCCACGCCAGCTTCTTTACATTGCCATCCGCCGGCACAACGGCCGGCGCGAACTCAACACCGAATGCCTGGTGAATGGCATACACAACACGCTTCGCATACTTGCTGTCCCGCTCAACGTGCCCGCCAAAGGGCTCGTCGACCGTCGTGGGTGCAATATCCGGATCGCGGTCAAGGCAGTTTCGCACAAGTGGCAACAAGGCCTGTTCAACGGCCTTCTCGTAGACGCCTAGCGAGTCGACCTCAACATCTTCTTCGTCGAAGCGGCCGATACGAACCTCAAAGGGCTGAGATATGGTCATGACGTTGTGCTTGCCATTGTGGTGGTAGCGGAATTCAAACACGCCGGACGTCCACCAGAGGCGATCACCCTCAAATACAACCTCGCCTTCGACGAGGGTAGTCGAGCCGTCGGAGGAAACAGGATGGTCGGGAACGAGAATGGCCTTGTCGGCGGTGGCGTCATACTGGCCGGGAGTGGTAGGCACCCAGCGACCGAGCGAGGGAACTTCTGTAGCCTCTCGCGAGTGATTGTCTGTGACCATGTACAGACCGATCCAGTCCTTGCTGCCGTGATTCGCGGGGGCCCGCCACTTCACCTTGAGAGGTGCACCATACTCGAACATGAGCGTCTCGACCCGATGAGGAAACCGGGCCGTGACGCTCTCCTTGCCAGTCGCGCGCTCGTTGGCCGCGGATAGACTAGACGGAGTTCCCTCCACCACCAGAGAGTAGTGCTTGGGGTTGAAGCCAGCAAGGTCGAGCGAGAGCCTAGTGATGGTGAAGCGCGCAGGATATGTGTTGAACAGGGCTGTCGTGTCACGCACAATGGTCTTGACACCTGATGTGAACTTGGGACGAGCGGCCTCGAGGAAGTCCTCCACGAAATGCGACGTGTCGTCCAGGACCTTGTCAACACCACGTTGCCAGCCCTGAACAGGGGGCGGAAGCGATCGTTTGATGAACTTGGTCAAGCCGGCCTCTTCACGGAGGCTGCGGCCGTAGATCTTCTGCATGTGGGGCTTCTCTACGTAGGCGATAAATCCGAGGGTCAGGATCTGGCTGAAGAGGGCCATGACGAAAATGGCTCGACTCCATGTGATAAGGGCAGCTCCCCACAACCCAGCGGTGCCGAAGACGCGCTCGGGGTTGTTCAGGAAACGGTAGATGGACGTGTAGGTCAGCTTGGCCTGGTGGTCGTAGAAGAAGTCACCGAAGAACCAGCCAAACTCGCCGAGGGAGTCATAAACGCTGACAGCGGTCCAGATCTGCAGGGCAACAAGACCGGCGCCGAGAACGTGCCAGAGCAGGACCCAACCGTAGTTCCAGTCCTCGGGAGTCGAGTACATTTTCCAGCAGGCTGCAACGAACGAGGTGTAGCACATGACCATGCTGACGTGGTACATGCCCTTCCACTGCTGCCAGCCCTCGGCGGTGCTCTCGCCAAACTTGAGGAAATGCCTCGTCCACATCTTGCGCTTGGACTGCTCGGTCAAGATGTACCCCAGTCCAATGTGGTACCAGGCGCGCCAGATGACGGCATGCGCGGCGAAGAGGGCCTGGAACAGAGGAGTAGAGGGCGTGACAATCGTGAGCAGAGCCATGTAGAAAGGCAGCATGATGACTGTGTAGTCGGTGATCCGGAAGAGGTCGAGATTGTGCAGGCCGAGCAGGTTGTGAACTTGGGACGGCGCCTCCTTGGGGGGCACGGTAGTATCAATCACGACTTCATCAGCGACTTCGAAGCCGCCCAGGGCGGCGGGCTGGGCCTCATGTCCGGACATGGTGCGCTTACGGGGTGGGGGCGGGTTGTACGTCTTCTCGATGTGAGGGTTCTCGACGATGACCAGGAAGGCGAACTGAGCAAGATGAGCGACGATGGAGATGAACAGCACCTCATAGCTCGCGGCCATCATGGAGATGCCATAGTAACCGGCATAGCCAATGGAGTACATGGGGTGGGGAGCCATCTCAAAGACACCGTCAAAAGTGAGCTCCTGGTCGATAAGATAGAAGAAATCACCCCAGTACCAGGCGTAATCCTTGACCACTCTGTGCGCATCGAGCTTGACCCACAGGTTGAAGAGGACGAGGCCAATGCCGATGGACCAACGCACGGCGCCAATGACGAAGCTCTCGCCCTCGGGCTTGTGACCGCAGATGATGGCGAACAGGCAGTAGGATACGAAGTCACACATGAGGATGAGGTCAACAACGCGACGGAAGGTCAACCAGGTGTTGTACTCCATGGGCGCCTTCTCGAACTCGTAGTCTTCGGGAATCTTAGCCTCAAGCTCACGCTTTAGGGTGTTGTACAGCCAAGGCCTGGGCTGTTTGCCAGTGCTTGGGTGCTCAAAAAGCTTCCACCGCGTGGCCCAGGTCTCCAGGCGACGGTGCTGGGACTGGATAGTCAGGAGATAGCCGATGCCAATGTTGTAGGACGCTCTCCAGAAGAGGAAGATCAGGGCAAAAACAGGCCGCTTCAGACCCCAAGGAAGGAGGTATGCAATGGCGATCATGCCACCAAGGAACGCGAGCACGAGGACGTCGGAAAGATTCTTGGGCTGCCGGGGATCCAGGAGCTGGGACACCATGTCATGGGTCGTGGGAACGGTGAAGACTGCAGCATGGGGGGTTTAGGTCAGAGTGGGGTTCTTTGGGTTCACAGATGTGTTCGTTGGTGTTCGTGACATTGCTGAGTTACGCACCTGTGCCATCGGGTGTTCGACCAAAAGTCTTTTTCGGCTTCTGATCCGACTCCTGCTGAGCTGCAGGCTCCGATTGCTGATTGGAAGATGGAGACAGAGCCGGTTTCTGACGGAGCCGCACGCTGGCGGCGCCGGCCGAGACATCGGTGGCGGAGCTCATGTTGGGGGCAATTGCGTCGGAGCGCGGCGAGGCGGGGATACAGGTCCGGAATGGGCAGATGTTGGGGGCCGCAGGTAGATGCGGTCGTAGGGCGGCGTTACCGGCTTGTGAGTGGGGATCACAAGTGTAGGGACGTGCGTGAAGGGCGAATATGTGTTCACGCGATCAGGCAGCGCAGGTGGATGAGCGTAAAAGAAAGGGGATAGGAGAGGCAGAGATAGAGAGAGAGAGAGAGAGAGAGAGAGAGAGAGAGGGAAAAGGGTACGAGGATGAGCGAGATGTCGAGGCTTCTCTAGCTGCAGGACTCGTGCGGGCAGGTCGGCCGAGAGAGTGCCGCTGTTGGCTGAGCTTACAGCGTGGTACTCCTCTGAAATGTCACAGAGAGCTTGGCTATTGCGTCGGGGTCTCCAGTGTTTTCAACGGGTTTGTGCTGCAGTCCGAATCACATGGGATTGGCCTATTTCCCTTTTTCTTCTTGTCGTTTTTTTTTTGCCTTTTGCGTAATGGTCAACCTCAAGGCGCGACGAGCTGCAGGGTTTGAACCGTGGGAGTTTCAACAAATAGGTTTCGAGGCGGCAGGCAGCGGGACCAATCAGCCGGTACTGTCGAGAGAAAAACCCCGCGGGATGCCGCAGCAGGGCGTGGGTGAAGGATGCTGATGCTGCAAGCTCGCAATGGAGGGGGGGGGGGCGCGCCCAGAGAGAAGAGGGGAGGCTTGACAACGACGGACCAGAGGTGAAGTTCGATGGTTGAACCCCAGCCGTCCGTTCCCAAGAGCTGAAGAACAAGCACCCGAGTCGTGCACAACGGGGTAGTGGATGTAGGCCAGACCGCAAGCGGTGGGTGGGTGAGGTGGAGGTTGGTTTCCCAGACAAGCTTGGGGAATTGTTGCTGCGAAAGAGACAGATGAGGATGTGAGGCACACGACAGGAAAAGGGAAGCCAGGAAAAGAAATTGGAACGAAGAGGAAACGAGAGCAAGTGGCCTCAACGTTTTCACTAGCAGGCACAGCCAATTCCAACAGGCTTCCTCGTGGGCAGGAACATGTGACGAGCGGGCGGGGTCTCTCCTTTGCTCCTTCTCCGTCCTCTGTCCTATCAGTTGCCGCCCTCGAGCGCTCTCCAGCCACAGCTCGAGTATTTCCGGCCTGTTCGAAGGAGTTCCAGAACTCGCTTCTCAGCCACAGCCAGACTCAAACACCCTCATCTCACGCAATTCTCACGATAGTCCGCCATCGCGACCGACGACGCCAGCGACCCATCTCGACTCCGAATCCTTCACGCACCTAACACGATGGAGCATGGGTACCCTCCAGTTATGTCTTCAGAACGCTACATGCCCAGAGACCTGGGCTCTCTTCATGCCTTGTCCGACTCTGGCGACAGGGGTACGCCCGGTTGCCCCATTTTGACTGAGAGAAGGGTCCCTCAAGGAACGAGGTGCGATGAACCACCGCCTTCCAACGGTCGCCCTCTCCTGTTCCGTGGGGTCTATAGCATGCCTGGTCTTATGGCATCGACTGCCCACCACGCTGATTGCCTCTTCATGCCGCCTGCCATGTTTTTCGTGCCCCACGCTCCCTCGTTTGCTACGCTGGGGCCCGGGCGGCCAGGGATGGGCCGGTCAGATGCATGATGTTCCAGAGTGACAGCAACGCGCCACCCAGGCCACGTCTTTTTAGCGCATTCGACCGCGTTCTTCTCCTCGTCGGCGCATATGTATAAGATCATGTTCATGATCCAAACCTGGCATCCGTCCCTGATTCCACGTGGGCTACCTCTACCAGCTCATTCACTCCTTCACTCCTTCACTGCCATTCACTCACTCACTCACTTGTTCACTCATCACCCCACGCTCACTTATTCACACACTCGTAATTCTCACAAGTAACACACACACACCTCTCCGAGACTCAGTCTCACTTACAGTTGCTCCATTCATTCTTCTCTTGATTCATCCCTCACCAAGTCTGGTACTTGCCTGGTCTCCTACAAAAGAAGAAAAAAAGAGAAAGAAAGAAAAAAAAGGGAAGAAATGACCGGCAACACGAGCCCCTCGCCCGAGCCCACGGAGAAGCCCCTTCCGGCCCGCCGTCCAGGCACCTCCGGCACCGAGGCCCTCCTCGTGACGAACCGCCGCCGCGCCTCGGAGAAGTACCAAAAGGCTCAGCGCGCCGAACGCACATACCGTGCCAAGAAGCGCTCCGCCGCCGCCCGCAGCGACCTCACTGACGCCCGCATCCACCTCCGCGACGCCGTCCGCCACTTGCGCCAGGCCGCGACCCTTGCTTTCGCCGCCGTCCGCTCCATCCCCTACATCATTGGCGAGAAGCGCGACGCCGGCCGCGCCCGCAGCGACGAGAAGAAGCACAAGCGCCAGACGGAGCAGCACCGCAAGCTCGAGGAGCGTCTCGCGCGCGAGGCCGAGGACGCGAGCTCGCACGACGGCGCCGACGGCGCGGCGCCCACTCCACCCGCCGGCTCGGGCCCGGGCCCGTGATGGTCCATTCGTAGGGTCGAGTCGGACGGGTGGATGAGGGCCTCGTTCGTCGAGGCGGACAAGGGGCGGATGCAGGCCTGGGACCCGACCGCCGCCCCGGTGCCGCTGTGAGAAACCACAACCAAGACGGGAAGCTCCCTTGTCGGCGCTCCCTCTCAGTGCAGGCTGCCATTCCACCCCTCCAGACTGCATCCTGCGAGGCGGTTCTTCGAAGTTCTAACTAACCAAGCAGCCTTTGCCTGAAAGTAGGGCACCACGTTCCGTCCGCTTTGATGTTGGTGTCAGGGAGTCGTAATCTTAACTGCCCTAATACTCAATACTTACCACTCACTGCCTCATTCTAGGTCGATCAGACGTATATTTCCTTACTTCTATTTCGTTCTTTCATTTTCCTGGCTTCCCGTAAAAGTTTTCCTTGATTGTCGTCTAATATCTCCCCACTCGCCTGTTCGAATATTTCCTTTGTCTCATGAGACCACGTTGATGAAGCCAGCATGCGCAGCAAAGGGCTCTCTTTCGGGCGGCGGATAGATGCCACTCGAGGCAGGGCGTCTGGTCATGATGGATTCCTCATAAAGGTGTCATTCACAATTATCTTCTGCGGCGTTGTTTGAGAGCATGGACTCAAAGGGCTTCCGTTGCGACTACTAGTTCAGGCCCAGTTCGTGGGGTCCACGGTGAGATTGTCAAACATGGCAGGTACACAACATGGACAAAATAAAAGCTGGTACTGCCATAATCCCTTGCCGTTGAAGGAGAAGAACTTCTCAATAAACAGAATGAAGTTGCGTACCTCCTCTGCAGGTCGAAGAAGGCCTTGGCTCTAGTCGCAGGCGTGTTCTAGTCGGGGACCTTGCTTTACTTAACCTCAGCCGCAAGACGTAACATACGTAACGTACGCGATCAATTTACCTCCTGTTGACAGTAAGCTGCAATCGAGATGCACAGGCTGGGGTTGCCATACCTTCCGGTGCTGACGCCGCCAGGGTTCGCAGCTTGCGCTCAAAGAGCTCCCTGTTGAAAACCTCGCACATGGTGACGATTTTTCTCTGCTGATGGTGAGAACAGACACAGCAAAGCCTCGTGGTGATCGTCGTCTTGAAACGCGGCGGCTGCAGACTGGGCCGATACCACGCCTCGTGGTACCAATGGAGTTGGCGCGAAGCTCGATCTCCTCGGGATCATCAACAGCGTTGTGAAGGTCGAAGTCGAGGGAGTCGCAGTCGGAAACACGAACGCGGCCGTGGACGTTGGGAAGGCTCTGCTATTCGATGGTCTCCAGCTCGGAGGAAAGGGTCTTATTCTATCAGCAAAGGCCTGCCATGCGGTGAGCACAATGGGATGGGCTAGTATGGACTTACAGAAACATGAACCACAACATCGCTACCAATAAGGTTATACAGCGCTGGGTAGGGGTCAGACAGGTTCAGATTGCATCGGCGACCGGCACCTACGAATTCATGAGTCCGGAAGGAAGGAGATCTGCAGATGACTGTGTCAGTAAGCAGGCCAGTCATGCATGATTTCATCGCAGAGCTTACGAAAGTCATAGGTTATGCAATGGGCGACAAACGAGGACGGAGTTGTAACTACCCGTGCGTCATATGCGTGAAACCTCTGTTCACACGGTCGAGGAACCGTACGTGCTATGGAAGGCTAGATGTCCGCAGTCGTCATCTGGAGAGCAGACGGACCTCATCTGGGGATGTCCGATCTTGGCAATCATGTAGCAAGGTGAACAGCCGGCTGCATTCATTAAATCCTTTCGCGAAAGAGCAGGCCGAATGATGCCTTGATACAAATACCGGCGCATCTGGGGCTGCTGACCGGCCGGTGAAGCGCCATCCGTAAGCCGAACGGCGGCAGCGACCGGCTCCTATTGTCCCCGCTGTACTCTGGTTGCAGTAAATCTTTAGCATTCCATCTCATATTTCCAGTCATTATTTGCCGTCCAGGAGCCTTCGAGTGCACACGGGTGATTCGTCCGCACAAGAATATTTGTGCCCTGGCGCAAAGTGACGCATCGGGGGAGAGGATCTCGACAATCTTGCCTTTCCCCTCATCATTTATATCCGTCAACCGGAACTCCCTTTTTTGTATGCATTCGGCCGCTCTGGCGTCGAGCAGTGTGCCTTGTGGAGTTGGATATGTTGCCTGGCATGCGGGGGATTTGCAGGATTTGGCATGCAAAGGAGGTATCGCGTCAAATGATGTATGTAAAGGTCTGGGGTAAAAAGGTCTGCTGGCACGATCCTGCATCACAGTGTATGAGCTGCATCTTGTGTTGTACCTTCCATGCCATCTTGAACCGCCCTTGACCCATCGCGTCGACAGGCGCGTCACCATCTCAGGCGTAACGCATCGACGCCAAGCTCACAGCCGGACAAGTCAGCAAATGCATCGGTATGCATGTGAGTTTTTCTCGTCGATAGGAGGAAATTTCCGATTCTAAAGCAGCCGTCGCCATGTTGGGTGGACGTGCAACGTAATGGTGTGAGTCGGGATATTACAAGAGATGTTCGGTTCACGAGGGGCAATCGGCTCCGAGATGCACGAGGGCTGATTGCGCTTTCGGGTAGTACAGTCCATGTGGAATGTCACATGACTGGAAGTCACCTGGGTGTCACACACACCACTCAACAAGAACAAGACCAAAGGCCATGACACGAGCAAGGAGAACACGAGGTCAACAAGCCGGTGAGAATTCATCAGCCCTGCCAAAAGCAGACTAGACGACGCTATTTTAGCTTTTCGTCGGAAATTGTATTCGGCCCCTGACGCCAAGCACAAGCGCCCCGGGGTAAGTGTCACATCAGAAGAGGATAACGAGGACTTCGGTCCAAAGGCTCTCTCATTTGAAGTATATGCATAGCACCACGGCTCGAGACGGATAACCCTCTATTCCGACGCAGGCTGCCAATCAGTGATGCGTCTCCAGTTAACCACAGCGGTCGGCACGCGGTCAGGTAGTCCAGGCATCGGCGGCGTCTGGCCCCCCAAACCCAATGCCTGTCTCTCCTTCGTAATGTACACCGAACTACCCGGCCGTGAGCCGCCGAGGGCGTCGCGTCCCTCATTTTCTGTCCGCATAGACCGAAAAATTCTTCTCCCACGCTCAGGATACTCTTCCTCAGTGAACCTGCAACAAGTCCCACTGATCCACATCTCTCCCCTCCTCCGCACCAGGTAGGAAATAATTAAGTGAAATAAAAAGGCGCTGGGCACCAGACCAGCGCCAGCAAAGAAAAGGTGGGCGCCGGGTCTTTTGACGGTCGCAGGCCGAGGTCTGACGCGGAAGAAAATCAAACGTTGGGCAAGGGCGATGCGGACGTCAAGACCATCAAGCCCTTGTGCGAGAGAGGGCCGTCTGCAGCAGCGACGAGAAAGAAGGAGATGGAACAAGCGAGCTCGGTGCGGGCCAGTCCAATTCCTTCGAGCACCTCAAGCAAAATTCCTCTTCCTCTGAATGAAGGATGGCCCCTTTCCTCTCCTCCAAGTGTCATCGGGGTCAGAACCATGTTATCGAAAGTCTATGCAATGCAAATATTTCCGATCACTGATTCTTTCCGAAGGGTATCGAAAAGCAAGAAACTTCGCAGTATGACAGATAAAATGAAGATAAATGTGTTGTGTGTGTGTGTGCGTGTGTGCGCGTGTGTGCGGCGTCTAGTTCGTCAATCAATTCCAGCCAAGGGAGTTCTCAGCAGCGACAGGTGCCGAAATCTTGGCCGTTCGCCCCGAGTTGCCCGTCCGCCCGCTGCCGTGGCTGTCACGACCGCCAACGACACCGCCATAGTTGGAAAAGTCGCGGCTCATCAGCGCGCCACCCATCATCGCGGGGCTGCCAGTACCAGTGTAGCGCATGTCAGAGGAAGTGCCGGAGATGGAGCTGGCACGGCGGTGCGCCTGCTTCTTGCGCTTGTAACGACGAGCGATCAGGAACATGGCCGCGCCGTAAGCTACACCAACCGTCACGGCACCAATACCGATGGCTGCGGCAGTTCCGGTCTGAATGGGTGTCGAGTCCGACTCGTTGTTGTCGAACATGTCGTTGTTTCCGTTGGGGGAACCAGAAGTCGGCGCACCTCCATTGCCGCCGGGGATGTTTTCGGAACCAGGAATGATGTCAATGGCAGGGTTGATGTTCTGGGTGAGATTGTAGATGAGCTGCTGGGGGTTGTTGTAAAGAAGCGAGTTTGGAATCTTGATGTCCATGCGCAGCTGGTCGACCATGGACTCGGGGTACCAGAACCGGGCGAGAGTCGTGATGTAGCCAAGCGACGGCATGGTGTCATAGGGCACCAGACTCGTGACGATGACCTTGCCGGCGTCGATCTTGGCGCCATCCGCGAGGGCGGTGGGCAACAGCGTGAACAACTGAGCAGCCGCCATCGGGTTCTTGCTAACGAACTCGTAGTTCTCGGCGTAAAGGAAGCCGATCTGAAGGAGAACAGTCCCTTCAGGCTGGACAACATTCTCCGTATCGCCAGGGCCGATAACCTTGGGCAAGTTCGAGGGCAGGGCAACGGCGCTTGTGGGTGCGACAGCATCCGTCGGTGCGCGAGTCGGCGTCGAATTCTCCACAATGATAGTGGACGGCAGCCAAATCTCGGTACCCGTGATCGTGTTGGTGGGTGCCAGGCTGGTCACGGGAACGATCGTAGAGGGCTCATACGAGGCTGAAACGCTGGGGACGGTGGGCGCAGCCGACGGCTCGTCAGAAATAACGGTCGTGTTGTCCGGCAGAACGCTCGAGGTCGGCAAATTAGTCGGCACGGAGGAAGGCGCGGCAGTGGGTTCAATGCTAGACTCGAGAATGGATGTCACGTTGACAGAGCTGCTTGGCTCAGTGATGGGGATGGAAGCGCTAGCAGTCGGAACGCTCTCTGTCGTGTTGGGAGCCACCGAAGGTTCACCGGAAGCGCTGGGTGACACCGATGGAATCACCGACGACCCAGGGAAGATCGAGGTAGAGGGGATGGTGGACGAATCGACAGGCGGCAGCGACGTCAACGATACGGGGGGCTGCGTTGACTGGTCCGGGACGGTCGTGTTGGCACTGACAGGAGGCTCACTGACATCCGTGGTGATGGGAACACTGGCCGTAGTCGTGGCAGACACCGCGTCGGTGGTCTGCTCAGCGACAGTGGAACCCGACAGGTCAGTAGTCGCAGTTTGAGTGGGCTCGATCTCAGACTCAGTCGCATTCGTTGGCACAGAAAGGATGCTAGTCACAGCGGAGATGACCGACTGGATGGGGTTGAGCTGAGACTCCAAGGGGGTCGTGGTAGCGGGCGTTGTTTGAGCGGTCGAGTCGGTTGGACTCGCAACAGGGTCCGTTACAGTGGGGATCACCTGCTCGTCGGTGGAGGTCGTGGGTTCACTTGAGCTGGTAGTGACGAGGCCCGTAGGCGCGATCACGATCCCCGAAGATGTTGTGACAGTTTCAGATGTCGTGGGCTGAGCAGAAGTCTGGGCTTCGGTCGTGGCGGCAGAGGTCGTGGGCTCGGCCTCGGCCGTGGTGCTGCTGCTCGTGGGGAGCACAATGGTGGACGGCAGGATGCCGGTGCCGGACTCTTCTGCGGAGGAAACAGACTCTACGACGGTGCTCTGCTCGGGCGACGTCACTGCTGTCGTTGCGGCTTCGGTCGTGGGTTCGGGTTCAGACGACGCAGTGGGGGTGGCAGTAGTGGTGGGTGCCTCGACTGATGTCTCTTGGGTTGTCGTCTCGGCGGCGGTAGTAGTCGTCGCGGCCTCGGTGGTGGTTGTGCCAGGGGCCGTGGTTGTATCGGGCTCTGTGGTCGCCTGAGAAGTCGAGGTCTCGGGATCGGACGACGAGGGCGAAGGCTGCGGAGCAGTCGAGTCATTGGCAGATGGCTCCTCAGAGGACGACTGAACCGGGTCAAGCACCTCGGGGACAGTTGTGGGCGGGACCCTGATGGTGCTCGAAATGACGACGGTGGTGCGCTGAGTGGTGCCGCTGGGCTCAGACAGGGACTCGGACAAGGAAGAAGAGGATTCGGCCGGTTCGATCAAGTCGTTCGAGAGAGACTGTCTGAGGCTCGTGATGAAGGTCGGCGTATCGGGTCGCGACGTGAAGGGCGTGCTCTCTGGCGCAGGAAAGGTCCCGGGTTGCGAAAGGGTCGAGTTGGTGAACTGTCTCTTGACATGACGGGGGAAGTAGATCCTCGGCTTGTCGTTCTCAGCCGTCGTCGTCGTAGCCAGGGCCAGGGCGGCGCCCAGAAGGACGGACTTGACCTGCATGGTTTCTTGTTTGTGCTGCCAGCCGTCGATTATGGGATAGTGTATACTGTGAAGGTCTTAACGAGAGTGGTGTTTGCACGTAGTAGTTGTGGTCTGGCAATGTCGGTCAGTCTGTGGGCTCGCCCCGTTGACGCGTAAAGCCTGTGATGTACGCGACCGCCGTTGACACGACTCACTTGTCAGAATGTTGTAGGAACGAATGTACTTGACATAGAGTCAACGAGTGTAGTCTGACAAGCATGTTAGCCAACCGAGACGAAACCCACGTTGTCTGCGACGGAGCAAGCATGTAGGATCCGCGAAGGACGGACTGCTGGGAGGGGAAGACGTGGGACGAGCATTGCAGAGGGGCCAAGGGTCCATGCCGGGTCAGGCCCCAACGCCATTTCTCGGCCTGCAGCATTCCATCCCTCGGCGCCTCCATCGCGGGGGATGTTGCTGTCTGCCGGGTCGAGGGTGGCGGGAGGGCGGCGGTCGCCAACTCACGTTTTATGTTGAGGGCACAATGATCGTGTATCCAGAAAATGAGTGACTCGACGAAGGAAATCGTCAGATTGTTGAAAGCATGTGTCGATGATTTGGTTCAAACGTCCACCGGGTTGGGGTTGAGAACTGCAGGGCGCGACGACGGATTTGTGAGCGATCAAGCTGGCATTTGCATTGGCTCGTGGAGACCTCCCGAGGTCGTTGGTAGGTGCTGCGTCTCGGCCGGGATCCAGCAGTGTCGAGAGTGCTCGTGAAGCGGCACACTCAAGAATCGAATCAAGCGGACAGGTCGAGAGTCGCCTTGGAGGAATTCTTGTCGGAGGCGGGCGGCGAAGCAAGGACGCTTGTCGGTGACGAACAGGTGGAAGAAGGGAGGAGGGAAAAGAGAGACACGCGAGAGGGATGGAAAGGGGGATGGGGACCAAAGGAATGAAATTGATTGACGGGAAACACGACAGGGGGATGGTTCCTGGGGGGGTGGAGGAGAGGCAGACGGGAGGCGTAGCGAGTGCAGGATGACAAGAGCGAGAGTTGGGACTCTGGTCTCCCAAGTAGGGCCCGGGGGGGTAGCCCTGGGGTCCTGGGGCCCCTGAGCGCAGGGACGACATAGTCTGGTGGTAGGCTCTGTAGTGAGTGGGTTCTGCTCTGGGGCCCTTGGTGGAGGGAATAATGCATTGCCCATACCAGTGCAATGCCCCATCCACCGTCAGCCCGTCACCGATCACCGGTCACCGTCCACCACCGTTCGAGCCAGCCCGGGCACAACTGCTCAGCCAGGGCAAGTGCCTGTGCAAGGCGCACCTGTTTCCCCCCGATCCCACGTTGGCACCGCTGGGGGATGCGCATGGTGGTGCGTGCACTATTATTGATTTGGCAGGAGCCGTGGCGTGAGTCCCGACTACCGAATTCTGTCACCAGTCATGTATGCTCAAGTGTTGTACACAAGACCTGCACCCAAGGTGGGCCTCAAGCGGGTAAACAGGTGTGCCATTTCATTTACGACGGCGCCAGCTTGCAGCACCTACCTTGCTGAGAGGTCATGGCATACCTCCCTTAGGTGTAGTACATGTGTAGGTCGGTAAGGTACCTAGGTCAAGCAGGTACTTTCCACAAACTCCATCGGTACGCGGTTCTTCGTCAAAATGGCGCAGTCCTCTGAGCATCTCTTTGTCCTGCATCACCGACTTGAGGCTACCCCGGTACGATCAATGCCTGCGAGTAAAGAAAGTACTATCGAAAAGTACTCATTGTAAACAAAGCAAGAGACCGTCGCCCTTTTGAGCGCCATACATGGTACCATGTGCTTCTGGCCTCCCTTGTGCGAGCACCACATGGGTACGGGCAACAAAGGACGGGTGGAGTACCATGGATGCTCTCCTCGATTGTGCCCCCGAAAACGCGTGCGAGGTGTTGTTGCCGTTCGCTGGGGCTGCCTCCATCGATCTCAGAAGCTAACTGAACTGCACCAACAAGCAGCTAACGGCAAAACGAGCCATCTTAGGGCCTGGCTGAGACCTGGCGACGGTGGACGCAAGGACACCTGCTATTGATATATACCGCTAACGACTCGAAGGCCTTCTCCCCCCGACAACCCGTGGTTGTGGTGGCGGCGGTGGGCAACGTGAGGGAAACGACAGGCCCTAGCTCACGATGCTGGTTTGCACAAGTGGCGGTTGGGGCTGCGATCAAGCCCTGGTCTCACTGTCTGCCTAGCAGTCCCCGACTGTCACCGTTCAACTACCTGACACGAAGCTAGGAACAAGCGGGCCCAGGCATGTCACCCAGTTCGTACCTTGAGGTCCGGCTCGTCAAGATTTCTCCCAGGGACTCCCTGCGGCCCTCCACTCTGGATGGCCAACTTGCGCTTTACGGGCGGAGTAAGTGGGACACGGACAAGTGCCCATTGGCCATGTGGAATGCCGTCCTCCGCTGCCCTGGTCAACTTGACCCGATCCTGGCTCGTACCGCTCATGTACATGTGTTGCACTGACCGCGGCGTTCGTCGTCCACGTCCCCGTTCTAGACGGTCACAGTCCCTGACACACAGATTTACATCCACGTGCGAGGGTTCTGGCCATGAACAGCCACGACGATCCCTTCGCTCTCTAGTTTTGGGCAATTGGGGGGGGGGGGGAGACCACATGTGTTATTGTCGGCAGGCGATGTCACTGGAATACATTGACTCGGCGCCCAAACGGGCATGTTCTTTGCTGCTCAGCGGATCCCGAAGCGTGAGGAGACTCCTGCGCACATCTAGATGGTCATCCGCTATAGACATCGATTACCTGTCGCTGCAGAGTGCGTCGATCTCTTCGGTCCTTTACCTTCCACAACGTCGAAGAAGGAACAGCAGCGTCCTGGTGTGGATCTTGGTGGTGTGATCATGCGAGGCCATGCCAGGCATCACTTCAACCGACCAAGATGTGCACTTCCACCCAAAAGACGCAAATCCGTCAATAAGGCTCGAGTACACGTCTAGTACTTGCCACCTGGTCAGGTCCTCCCGTCTAGCCAGGTAATTACCCGTGAGATCCTTGCGCCGTCGCGCGGTTTACCCCTGTTCTAATGTCTCCCCCATGCGCCGGCGCCGATAGAGGGGAACATTTGACGAATGAGAGTTCCTGCATCTACACGTACTTGCAGCCCTAGCTTGTCTCGGAAAGCCCACCAGCGGGACCCTGGACGCCGCTGCTTGGGCCTTTAATTCAATCAAGCCACCATTCTATGCTAGGTACCCTGCCTTGCCCAGATAGGTACCTACTGTGTTGTTCTGTCTAGTACAGTACAGGTGGGAGCCGGCCTGCACAAAGCAAGCACAACAGGCGCTACGGACAATGCATTGAGTTGGTCATCCCATCTCTGGCAAACCAGTTCTTGTGATGAAATCGGGACACATTCAATTGCCAGGAAGGGAGCGGTCAGGATAGTCAACTTGCCTCTTCAATCCCTAGTGACTCGTCATCACCACGAGGCACCACAAAAGGTGTCGCATACCCACAAAGCAAATGGGCCCGTGGAGTCGACCCCCAGGATCCAGAGGGGATCAAGCTCCAACACAGGTTCTAGGCCCATCAGAAGACTATTGGATCAGCGTCTGTCTCCCTGGTTGTTGCGCGCCACCTGGATCCACGTGTCGGTGCGAGCGCGAAAAACCAAGAAAACAATGGCTTCGAGATGAATCTGATTGCCTGACACCGAAAATATTGGGTCTATGCCCAGGCACCGCAGTCTGACTCGCTGAGCTGATGAACCACCGGGTCCCTCCGATGAGACTACCGAGATCATTCCTGCATGGTACGTCCGTGTCCCGTCATGGCTTCAAAGACAGGCTTTCACGCTCTTACATGCACGTGTTGACCCGTAATCTGGCAATCTGGGGACTAGCTGCCAGGCACCACTCCTCGCTAGCTAGCAAAGTTAGTTACTGCCAGTTTTGGTGCATGGGTGCAAGAAGGTTAGAGCCTCCCAACTGACGCAACTCCTGTGCCTTCGACTGAGCGATAACAGTATTCAGAGCGCCACTTTGCTCCGCCGAACTGCCACGAATCTAGGTCCAGCTCAGTTACACGGTGGACAGAGACAATGTTCAATAAGGACCCCTGGACTAATCAATTAAAGGGGAGGCAAAAGCCGTTAGCATTCCATACGTAAAGTGGGGGTAGGACTGTGTAGGTTCAAAGTATGCTTTATTGACATCTCGTCCCCATGCCGTTACTTCGCATGACTCTGAATGGAATCTCAAAGCTGCCACCAATTGTCGAGAAGTGTGACACTATCCGCCTAATCGGAACAGCCTTCCACCTGGCCATCATTTTCACGATAGGAGCGCCTCCCGTCCGCGATGCATGTCTTGCCATGCTGCTGGAACTCGAACGCCGCGCAACAGCATCCTACTCTACCGTTCCGCGTGTCTTGTGTCTCACACTTGCACATAACAAAGAAGAAGGCGCCCAGCCATCGTCAACGTTTTCCGCGACATGGCGTCATTCACATTCTGCGGAACGCGGGATTCGTGGCGCAGCATCCTTCGCCTGGCGGGGGCCATTCTCAGCTGATGGCTGTGTTGGTCCCCTCATGTCTTGCCAGTTCTGCCGTGACACCAAACACTCGTAACTGCGGAAAGGTGAACCAAAGAGCCTTTCCGTGTCGGCATGGAAGTGACGCAATCGGAGCCCAGCGTCTCGACGAAGCTGGGCCGAGAGCGCCGTCGTCTCGATCAAACTGAAACTCGGCCCCATATTCCAGGGTCAACACCCCCTCCCCTACCAGTGTAGGGGAAAAGCTCGGTTCAATCTGGCATCTAGCCTTTCCCCGACCATGCCTCGCCAGGACAGCCTAGGCAATAAGCTCAGTTTGCTTTTGTTCAAGTGCATCCCATCCGACATGCACCGGAGGCCTATAGGGAAGCGGAGGCCATCCTGAAACTCGAGGGAGCCCGTCGCGTTCACGGGAGTGGTTGCCGAAGTCAGATGGCACAAGAATGTCGGCACGGCGACCATTCTGACATTTGCGATTGGAGACGTCCTGTTTCAGCAACGCCGAATTCCGATCCAAGACCAGACGACCGCTGGCAACAGACGATTTGCCAAACGCTTTGGATGAACAGCACCGTGGGGTTATGTTATCGTGGTGCCCTGGCCGGCTCTGTTCCCCTGTCATGTACTCGTTCCCATTCTTTGAATATGTGCATTGGAAAGCCAGAGCCGGCTTTGCTGTTGCCGGACACCCCATCGCGGATGGCACCGGTGAGCGATGGTTTGCTCAACCGAGTTGATTTAACTTTCGACAAAGAGACTCAGAGGGTATACTCGCTTGCTGTTGCCCCCTTGGCGGGCGAGATGATTGTCGGAGGTCGTACAGCAGGTCGTCTGGGCTTGGGTTGTCTCTCCCTTCACGTCGGACCTCTCTTGTTGAGCAATAACCTCGTACGGCGGTCTGTGTCAGGGCGAAGCGAGGAGGCGCATCTTTGCCGGCTGTTGGCTCCCTTCCACTTCGGCATCTGGTGATGCCCAATCCTGCAGGATCTGGTGTGATCCAGACTCTCGGTTGTCACGACAATGTAGGGGCCAGTTGAGATATCTCCCTCCCAAGCTGAAGTCTCGGGGCTGATTCGAGATGAGCCACTTTCTCTTTGGAACCGGGAAATATCGCATCAAACACGACCGACACCACATCGCGACTCGTGCACAATACTCTGCCGCAGGCACTGGCTTCCCTGGTAAACTGATGTCATCCGAAGTCCGGCCTGGGCGTTGACGATCATCGTTTGCTCGACTTTCACAACCGTTGCCGGCGTTTGTTGCCGAGGTGAACGCAAGACAGCCCGCTTTATATTGCTTCTGCCTGTTTTCTGACTGTTTGAGATTACTTAGGGGGGCAACACTGTCAGGTAGGCAGGGTGCTCATGTTGCCGAATGCATGGCCTTGAGACATGTGTGGACCAGAGTTTGCATTCACCAAGCTAGGAGAGAGTCGTTCGATGCAGCAGACATCACGTTTGTCAGAGGATGTGCGAGCGAAGCTGACTCGACCCGAACCAAGCGAGAGCCTCTCCATGTCAAGTCAAGACTTTGATCGACGTCGGTGGTGACCGTGGCCACCAGCCTGCAGCGGCCACAGAAATCCCAACTGTTGCTGCGGCTAGATCACAGAATGACTGGAACAGCAGGATGTGACGAGGAGGCTTACCAACCTCAACAGGTTCTGCACGCTGCCGATGACCTTTGGTGGGTGATATGTGACGACCAGCCAACTGTCTTCGTTTGCCAGCCAACCTTGCCGGCTGACTCGTCCTACGGTATGGCGCCTTTGTTCTCGCGAGCCCGAAGAAACAACAGGTGCACCAACGAGGGTCTCTACAGTATTGACATGCCTTGTGTCCCCGCCCTCGACGAAGAGTCTTCCAATTACGGGCGCTCGTGCCTGCAATCAGCAAATACTGGAAAGTGACGATGATGGATTTCTCTGGCGCCGCAAGATACCCAATTCCCTGGGATTGATGACAGGTCCTGGGTTGGCAGTACTAGTATAGGTATGTTACTATCGTCAATTCACGTCCTAGAACCTGCCACGGTTTGTGATGGATGGAGGATGCTCGCATCAGGGTCATATGCCAGCGGGAGAAGTAGTGTCGAGAGGACTGTAAGTTGATGAAGCTAGCGTTCAACTGGTACACCGTAGAGCGCAGCCTGTAAATCAAAGGATCATCGTCGTCAATCCGGCTGGTGGTGATCCGACAGGTTTCGGTCATCATACCGCCCGCAGCTTCCGCTGTCACATCTCGACGACCGATCACCTCCGGGTGCGAGCTCCGCGTTTTGTCGGCCATCATGGAGCGTGCAGTAGCTGGCTGACTCGGCACATGGCGCACCATAGACATGTTGAAAGGTACGCTCTGGGTTGTTAGCACCAAATCGAAGGCGAGCGATGTATAGTATCAAAGCACTCTCAAGACTATCTTCTCCCACCAACTCAATGGCGGGCTACTGCCATGACGGTGTGGTTGCGACATTGTCGATGGAAATTGTCACAGGTCCGCTGCCGCCGCGTCCCGCGCGATTGGGAGCTTGTCGTGGCAGAGCTTCCCTGTGTGGTGGGGGCAGGCAATGCGAGGCTTTCAAGTAGATCACTAACAAGCGGGCACGTTTGCTGCGCAGAGTGCGCAGAGGGCTTTTGGCGGTGGAAGGTCCCGACAAGTAGCGTCACTGCAGGTTTTCTGTGACGAGGTCGCACAATATGACCCAGAAGTACCTCGTCGCCCAATCGTGGTGGTGCGAAAGAGGGGTTGGGAGGGGCAGCGCGGGGCAGCAACTGTTAGCAGGCGACTTGATCGTCATAGAGTCTTGGCGGCAACCTATGTCGTGCCTGGACGAGGGGTCGAGGGGAGCTTGCTTCGGGGCGGCAGCTGGAGCTGGCGAGGCAGGAGACGGGACAGCGGACAGGGCTGTCGCACGTCGTCAGGACAGGCACCACACACGGGGGCACGCCCAGTGGAAGCACAAAGATCTTCCCGAGCGTACCCAGATCCGCCGCGGTCCCTAAATACCCTGCCTGCCGCCCCTTCCCTTCGTCTTCACCTCCTCACAAACCACCACAAAAACCAACCCAATTGACCATCACAGGCATGCCACGACCCCCCTCCGCCCTTCTGGCCTCGGTTGCCCGGCTGCGGGGTCCGAGGCTGCAATTCCCTCCTGCTGACCGCAGAACCTTCCAGACATCCGCATCCAAGATGGGCGTCAACGTTATCACCCACCAGCCCGGCACTGGCGCCACCCCCACCAAGGGCCAGACTGTCACCATCGAGTACACCGGCTTCCTGAAGGACACTTCGCAGCCCGACAACAAGGGCAAGAAGTACGTTCCCGCGTCCCATCTCCTCCATTGCACCACCCCACTTGCGCCTGAGTGCGCTTTGCGAAACATTGGTTGCTGACCGGGTCTCCTCTCTCTTTTCCAGGTTCGACTCTTCCGTCGGCCGCGGCGACTTCGTCGTCAAGATCGGTGTCGGTCAAGTCATTCGCGGTTGGGACGAGGGTGTCACCCAGATGAAGGTCGGCGAGAAGGCCACCCTCGACATCTCCAGTGACTTTGGCTACGGTGCCCGGTAAGCCGTTCCCTGCTTCTGTGGCAAGCCCCTTGCCTCCGCTTTCAGCTCCAGTCCGACTGACGCGTTCATCTCAGCGGCTTCACCGGCCACATCCCCCCCAACGCCGACCTCATCTTGTAAGTTTGCCGTCCTGTGTTACACGTCCGCTTTGTGCGGCGGTAGTGGGACGATGCTAACTTGTGGTCCACAGCGATGTCGAGCTGAAGAAGGTCCAGTAAATCAGACGGGGACATGGTGCGCGGACGGTTACACGGATTCGTTATCGGCTGGTCTAGAAACCGCACCATGCGCGTGATATCTTAGTAGTGTGCCAATACCACTGATTGAAACAAAAAGGCCTACCTCGGATCTGTGATGACTTTCGGCGATGTTCAGATGTCGGTCGCTCTGGATGCCGCAGAGCCCGGGACTGTCGTGACGTTGACCATGTTAGTAAGTGGGCCAGTGTAGTCGCGGCTATGACGAAACGTGAATTGAAAGGTAAGAAAGCACATGGCAGGAGTTATCGTATGTTTAATGCATCCGGGTGTATCATCTCAATCTATTCATCAGCGTGTCTATGACGCCGTCGGATTTATGTTCTCCGATGTGTTTCAACCGGATAATTCCCAGCCCCTGCCTTCAGGGTTACCGGCTTCGAATTATTATATTCTATTCCCGCGAGTCGATCATATCTTCGGCACTGGGGACTTGAAAAATCTCCTTTCAAGTGTGGCATGAACACTCGCACATACCACTACGATCCCATCGTCCAAGTGAAGTGCGTCATACGGAGTGCTCGTCGCTCAGCTCCCCGGGCTGGATAGCTTGAACCGTAACAAAAATTAGTAGATGTGTACCGCAGCATTCCGGCCAGGAAAAACAATGATTTTATACCAAATGCAGGTTGCTCGGCTTTTTTTACCGCTTTCGTGACGATCAACGATCGTACACTAGTCTATCCCCAAGCATCATTGTGATATTGGATGGCAGACGCACCCTATGCACGGCAAATGCATGCTTAAGCATACCGTGATGCCAAACCCCCGATTTCAAATCACAAACCATGTCATGTGCAATTTAATACAGCGTCTAGATTGCCGCGGAAGATATCGAAGCACTCTTTCCATCATCACCCAGACATCCTGATGGCCGTGGACTTAAATCGTCAGACAGGCCTGACGCAACCGACCCACTAATATGTGGCGCCAGCTGTCGAACGAGGCTCAGCAGTCTCCATGGGTCCCGCTTACATAGGTCGGTGCCCAGGTAGGTAGGTGAGGTAGGTAGTAACAGACGTCTGGTGCCTTCCGCCCCACTGGCAGTCCCGGGACTCGCTGCCTGCTTAGAAACCTGGCCAACAGCTACGTCGGTTCTCCTCAATCCCCCGCCTGTCGTTGCCCCTCCACCAATACCGCCATCCCGTCAGCCCTGTCTATACTGCTGAGAACCTCACCTCCAATTCATCTCGGCTCGTTACCCTTCCTTCTCAGATCCTGCCCGGCGCAATCTATATACGACGACTCTGCCTTGAATAAGCGATTCACGACTTCTGCACAGCAACGTCGCCCACGAAACCTCTCCCTGCCACGCAAGCAGTGGGGTTTGAGCTGTCCCAGGCGTTCCCAACTGGGCTCCCATCCCTCACGCCATAACGTCAATCCCAAACAATCCCCTCTCCCCATCTACCATCGCCAAGCTGGGGAAGCGCAAACTCTCCAGCGGGGAGTCTCCAACCCACAAGAAAACCATGGCTGTACGTCAATCACGCTCGTGTACCCAGTTGTCTGGTCCTGTTGGGATGGCCGACCACCAGTGATCCCATCATGTGCTGACCTGCTTTGCTTCCAGGACCAGAAGTATCCCGAGGTTGACCTCGTCACCAGAATGCAGGTTGACTCTGCTGTAGTCGGCAACACCGAGATCGACGAGTCTCTGTACAGCCGACAGCTCTACGTGCTAGGCCATGAGGCTATGAAGCGCATGGGCGCCTCCAACGTCCTCATCATCGGTCTCAAGGGCCTGGGTGTCGAGATCGCCAAGAACATCGCGCTGGCTGGTGTAAAGAGTCTGAGCCTTTACGATCCCGGCCAGGTTGCCCTTCCCGACCTGTCCTCCCAGTTCTTCCTCCGCCCAGATGACGTCGGCAAGCCCAGAGACGAGGTCACCGCTCCTCGTGTTGCCGAGCTCAACGTCTACACGCCTGTCCACATCCACAAGTCAGAGGGGCTGGCGGAAAACCTATCTCAGTTCGACAAGTACCAGGTTGTTGTCCTGACGAGCCTGCCCTTGAAGCTCCAGGGCATTATTGGTGATTACTGCCACTCCAAGGGAATCTACGTGGTTGCCGCCGACACTTTTGGTCTTTTTGGCTCCATCTTCTGCGATTTTGGCGAAAAGTTCACCGTCATTGACCCAACTGGCGAGACCCCCCTTTCCGGCATTATCGCTGGTATTGACGAGGAGGGCCTTGTATCTGCGCTCGACGAGACACGTCACGGCCTCGAAGACGGTGACCATGTGACTTTCACGGAGGTGGAGGGCATGGAGGGCGTGAACGGCTGCGCGCCCCGCAAGATCACTGTCAAAGGACCATACACCTTCTCCATCGGCGATGTCACAGGCCTGGGCCAGTACAGGCGGGGAGGCCTTTACCAGCAGGTCAAGATGCCCAAGATCATCGACTTCAAAAGCTTCACTCCTGCTCTGGCGGACCCAGAGTTTGTTGTCTCCGACTTCGCCAAGTTCGACCGTCCGCAGCAACTGCATCTCGCATTCCAGGCCCTGCATGCCTTTGCCGAAAGCCAGGGCCGTTTCCCCCGACCCATGGATGACGAGGATGCCACTGTGATCCTCCGCTCCGCCGAGGCGTTTGCCAAGGCCCAGGGCCTTGAGGTACAGTTCGACGAGAAGGTGATCAAGGAGCTCAGCTACCAGGCGCTGGGTGATCTGAACCCCATGGCTGCCTTCTTTGGTGGCATCGCTGCGCAGGAAATCCTGAAGGCTGTGTCCGGAAAGTTCCAACCCGTCAGCCAGTGGATGTACTTTGACTCTCTCGAGTCGCTTCCTTCCAACTCTGCTCGTTCGGCCGAGCTCTGCAAGCCCCTCGGTTCGAGATATGACGGTCAAGTCGTTGTGTTCGGCAGGGAGTACCAGGAGAAGCTGTCGAATATAAAGCAGTTCCTTGTTGGCGCCGGTGCCATTGGTTGCGAGATGTTGAAGAACTGGGCTATGATTGGCCTCGGAACTGGTCCCAAGGGCAAGATCATTGTCACAGACATGGATTCAATCGAAAAGAGCAACCTCAACCGCCAATTCCTCTTCCGTGCGCCTGATGTAGGCAAAATGAAGAGCGACTGTGCCGCGGCTGCTGCTCAGGCCATGAACCCGGACCTCGCTGGACACATCCAGTCGCTCAAGGACCGTGTTAGCCCCGAGACGGAGGAGACGTTCAACGAAACCTTCTGGCAGAACCTCGATGGCGTGACAAACGCTCTGGACAACGTCGAGGCCAGGACGTACGTCGACCGTCGCTGCGTCTTCTTCCGCAAGCCTCTGCTTGAGAGCGGTACTCTGGGTACCAAGGGCAACACCCAAGTGGTTCTGCCTCACCTGACAGAGTCGTACTCGTCCTCACAGGACCCCCCCGAGAAGGAGTTCCCCATGTGCACGGTGCGCAGTTTCCCCAACAAGATCGACCACACAATTGCATGGGCCAAGGAGTACATGTTCGAGAACCTCTTCATCGCTTCCCCATCGACAGTCAACCTGTATCTTACCCAGCCGGGCTACATCGACAGCATGCTCAAGCAGGGTGGTAACCAGAAGATGACCTTGGAGACTCTGCGTGACTACCTGACTACAGACCGTCCCCGCACCTTCGAGGACTGCATTGCGTGGGCCCGCCTACTGTTTGAGCGGGAGTTCAACAACAAGATTCAGCAGCTTCTTTACAACTTTCCTAAGGACTCGGAGACGTCAAGCGGCACCCCATTCTGGTCGGGGCCGAAGCGTGCGCCTGATGCGCTCAAGTTTGATGCCAGTGACCCCATGCACTTTGGCTTCATCGTGTCAGCGGCCAACCTGCACGCGTTCAACTACAACATCAAGTCTCCCGGCCTCGACAAGGACATCTACCTGCGCGAGCTGGAGAATGTGATCGTGCCCGACTTTGCCCCTGCCGAGGGGGTCAAGATCCAGGCCAACGACGCTGATGCGGACCCCAATGCTGAGGCAGCCGGCAGCTCTTTCGACGACAATGACGAGCTGCAGCAAATCATTTCGGGCCTGCCGTCACCCGGCGAGCTTGCAGGGTTCCAGCTGACGCCCGTGGAGTTTGAAAAGGATGATGACACGAACCACCACATTGACTTTATCACGGCGTGCAGCAACCTGCGTGCGGCCAACTACAAGATTGAGCAGGCCGACCGTCACAAGACCAAGTTTATTGCGGGCAAGATCATCCCAGCAATCGCGACGACGACGGCACTCGTCACAGGCCTCGTGGTGCTGGAGCTCTACAAGGTGCTCGACGGCAAGACGGACCTGGAGCAGTACAAGAACGGCTTCATCAACCTGGCGTTGCCCTTCTTTGGCTTCAGCGAACCGATTGCGAGCCCCAAGGTCGAGTACAAGGGTCCCGACGGAAAGGTGACGCTCGACAAGATCTGGGACCGGTTCGAGGTGGCCGACATTACGTTGAAGGAGCTCCTGGACCACTTTGAGAAGCAAGGTCTCAGCATCTCCATGCTGAGCTCGGGCGTCAGCCTGCTGTACGCGAGCTTCTTCCCTCCGGCGAAGCTCAAGGAGCGTCACCCGCTCAGGCTCAGCCAGCTCGTAGAGCTCATCTCGAAAAAGCCGATTCCTGCGCATCAGAAGGAGGTCATTTTCGAGATTGTAGCGGAGGATCTGGACGAGGAGGACGTTGAGGTTCCTTACATCAAGATGCGGAGGGATTAAGACAGGCACGTAGGAGGAATGGATTGCGCTGAGGTTCACGGTATATGACTGCTGGGTCGTCATTCAACGGAAACAGCAAGTACAGACATGCACATGCACAGGAAGAAAGTGAGAGAGTGAGGCTCGATAGAACGCTTAGGAAGACAAACAAACATGATTTTTTTGATTTTTTCTTTTTCAGTCTCACGGTCATGATGCCATAACCTATGAAACCAAGTGAAGCATCCAGAGGCATGTATGGCGCTGCTGTTTGCATCATCCAGTGAGCCAAATTCATGCACTAAGCCGACTGGTGAGTCGAGTGGTGAGGTGGGCGGACGGTGGAGCCCGTGGTGGTTGTGCTGAAGTTTGGGGCCGGGACTACCTACCTTAACCTGCCTTACCTAAGGTACCTAGGTACCTAAAGGTAGGTAGGTAGGTATGTTTACGTCACCATTAGTAGGTACTCCAACCCGATGCGGCCAGAGAGGGGCAGAGGGGCCTCTTAATAAGCGCCTTCTAGGGAAGTCCGCCGTGCTGAGACGTCCATCGCATAAGGATGACTGAGCTGTTAGCGCACGCCGCCCGGGAAGGCACCTACCAGCCAGTGGGGATGTATGTGCCTGCCCTGGCTGTGAGTTGCTGTTGCCATTGCAAGTACCTACGGAGCAGACCATTAGAAAGAAGCATGATCGCGTGGGCGAGTGAGAAGGGCAGGTTTATAAGCCAACGGAACCATCAATCCTTCTCCTCAATTGCAGCTGCATTATCGCCCTGCTGCATAAATAGCACCCGATGAAGACGCACATTCTGGCTCGATCTGTCAGGCCCACCCTTCCTCTGAAGCAGAGCACCAAAAGCGTTGCTCTACTGCATTTCTCTACTCGCTCCCCAGCCACCACCATCAGCATTGCTCCACGATATTCAAGCACCATCCCGAACGCTTACCACCAGACCAGAACCATGGTATGTTGACCCTCCTCCACGGAACAAACGCCCCGCCACACGCGTCGGTGCTAACACGCCTGCCAAGTCCTCCACCCCCGCCAAAGGAGGCATCACGAGCTGGGTCAAGCCTGGCGACACCTCGGGTGAGTTCAAGCGCCAGGTCTCGTCCTTCCGCTCCTGGATCTCCCGCGACGCCGACGCCGAGTTCCCTCCCGAAAAGGGCCGCTACCACATCTACGCCTCGTACGCCTGCCCCTGGGCCCACCGCACCCTCATCACGCGCCGCCTCAAGGGTCTCGACGACGTGATCAGCTTCAGCGTCGTGCACTGGCACCTCGGCGAAAAGGGCTGGCGCTTTGTCGAAAAGGGTGAGGACGTCCCCGGCGACAATGTCGTGCCCGACCCCGTCGACGGCCACGGCGCCTTCACCCACCTCCGGGACCTGTACTTTGAGAGCGAGAAGGACTACCAGGGCCGCTTCACCGTGCCTGTGCTGTACGACAAGAAGGCCAAGCGCATCGTGAGCAATGAGAGCAGTGAGATCCTGCGCATGCTCGGCACTGAGGTGAGCCTTTCCCAGCCTACCCAGCACTGGCCTGATTCATGGAAGAGAAAGGAGCGAGAAAATGGTTGACCACTCCGCAGTTTGACGACCTCATCGAGGAAAAGTACCGCGGCTTCAACCCCTACCCAGAGCACCTCCGCAAGGAGATCGACGAGGCCGACGAGTGGACCTACGACAAGATCAACAATGGCGTCTACAAGTCTGGCTTCGCCACGACGCAGGATGCCTACGAGCGCAACGTCGTCGCCCTCTTTGAGGCCCTCGATCGCGCCGAGGCTCACCTCGCTGCCAAGAAGGAGGGGGATGGGCCCTACTGGTTAGGCAACGAGTTGACTGAAGTCGACATTCGTCTGTTCGTGACCCTTATCCGCTTCGACGTGAGTTTCCTTCCCTTCATAAGACTCCCAGCCTTGCTCTGTTCGCTACCCAAGGTGTGAATGGGGGGAAAAGGAGTTCTCGCGACAGCAGGACAGAGAAAAGTGGTTGTCTCCTGGAAAAAAAAGAAGCAGGCTAACGTGCTATAGCCTGTCTACGTCCAGCACTTCAAGTGCAACATTCGCGACATCCGCTCCGGCTACCCCCGGCTCCACGCCTGGATGCGCAACCTCTACTGGAACGAGCCTGCCTTCAAGGACACGACCCAGTTCGAGCACATCAAGTGGCACTACACCAAGAGCCACACCCAGATCAACCCCTACTCCATCACGCCTGTCGGCCCCCTGCCGGATGTGCTGCCGCTGGATGAGGAGGTACCCGCTGCGAAGAAGCAGTAGGTAGGTTCGAGGAAGGCGATGCACCGCGGCGAGGCCAGAGACAAGATGGCAAGGATGAAATTTCACCACAAGTAATCGATGGCACTAGCTCAAATGGTCCGACCATATTGTGCCACTGTATGTAACATGCCCAGAATTCAAAAACTCGATAGCCAAAGGAACCTTGTGCAAGTGAGCAAAACGCGCAATTCAATTCGATGAATCCCCGATGGATGCAAGGTCCAGTCAAAAGAGTTTAAAAACACATGTATAATTCCATTTTCCTTACACCATCCCAGCCAAGTACGGCGCGCTCTGAAAGGGGCTCGGGGAAACAACGTAAGAAAAAAAAAACCCCCAGATGGAACAAGACGGAAAAAGACGAACCAATGAGCTCGGATTGGAACACCTCCCTATCGCAGCCGTTCCAGCAGTCGATCTGGCAGGCGTCGATACGCCGCCTCCCAGCTTGATTAAATAGTGGAAGATCCCAGGCCGCCCCAGTATATATAGAAACGATTTCTTGTTTTCATCCTTGTCACGCGAGCACACACAATCTCGGAATGCGTAACTGACGGGTTTCAAAACTGGCCGTGACTGCATTACCGTCAAGTACAGGAGAGTCGTTGCAATGCTGCGCTCTACAACTGCCCGGAAAGGAGGGCCTCAGTAGCTGTGAAAATGGTTAGTAGTTGCTCGTACGTCTGTTGGGAGAGGAAGACAACATACCACTGTTGATGTAGGCACGCTTCGCGTCAAGCGGCACACCGAACCGACGCTCCAACTCCTGCTTGATACCCTTCTTGGTGACAGTCATGAGGTCGGCCGTGCGCAGAATCTCACGGATCTCTGCCAGGAGTGCGTCGTCGCTCGGCAGGCCAACCATGTCCTCCGGCGAGAAGTACTGTGATCCACCAAACTGGCTGGCGCGGTTGCCACCCATCTCCGACGCCGCGAGTGACATGCGCGACGTGTTCATGGGCAGTGGCGGCATGGCGTGCGCGCCGCTGAAGCCGCCAGCAATGGACCCAGGCCTGCTGTAGCCGCCGTACTCGGAGACGCCAACCTGAACGCCGGGGTGGCCCTTGGTGGCGTAGCTGTAGCCGGAGACCTCAGAACGCGCGTCGTCGCGAACGGTCTGAGCCTCCCAGATCTCGCCCTGGTACTCCTCCCACTTCTTGCGGGGGATCGAGGCCGGGTCGAATTTGCCCTCGTCCGTGACGATGACCTTCTTGCCCTTTTCACCAGCGACAACACGAGTGTTACCCCAGTTGAAGTCGTCCATGTACCAGAACGAGTATAGAGGGAGGCCGAAACTGAAGACGGGGATGGCAAGGATGTACAGAACCATCCATCCAATCATCTCCCACTTGCGACGCAAAATGAAGATGATAGCCTGCAGACCGAAGACGGCAGCGATCAAGATGAAGGCTGTGACAGGCACGACGTCCGGTGACCGGATGACCATGACAATCAGGTAGACGATGTAGGCCATAGTTACAGGTTGCAAGACTGTGCTGAGCAAGTCGACGAAGACGATGAAGCGCATAGAAAAGCAGCAGAAGCCGCAGAGCTGGGCCATGGGAATGAGCTCGATGAGGTTGTGCACGGTAGAGTTGATCCAGCGACGACGCTGTGACATGAAGACAGCCCAAGAGTCGGGAGCGATGGTCCAGGCATGAGCGCGGAAGATGTACTTCGTCTTATACTTGTTGTGGAATTTGAGGAGGAGTGTGGTGAGGTAACGATCCTCACCCAGATGAAGCAAGTTCTTCATATGGAGAGTGTCAACTCGAATAGTCGCGTAGGCTTCGACAATTTCGCGGCTCACGAACAGAGGCTTGCCCGTCTCAGCGGCGCGAATGCGGTACATGGAGAAACAACCGGGAAGACACGTGACACTGCCAAAAAGACTCTCGAACGCCTTGGTGAGGTTGTGCGAGATCCAGTACTCGTAAACCTGGATCATGGTGATGAAAGATGACTTGGCGTTGGTGAGAGCGGTCTCACCGCAGACAGCGATCAGACGCGTGTCATCCAAGAAAGCGGACACCATACGTGTAGCGGAATCGGGAGCAACTACCGTGTCGGCATCGATCTGGAACATGAACTCGTAGAATGTAGGGTTGACACCAATGATGTTGCGAATTTGGTGATACATTTCAAGCTCGAGGGGGCTCATGGCCAGGTTGTAGTGGACGCGGTTGAGGAAGCGCATGATAACCATCTGCGAGTCACGCTTGCCACGGTTGCCGGGACGAGACACCTCGGAGGGCTTGCCGACCTTGACAACGACCAGGAACGGGACAATGTGACCCTGGACCTCGTAAAGACCAGAGTAGACCTTGCCCATGTTGTGCTGCTTGAGACCTTCACCTAGTGACTCGAAGCTTAGGGGTTCAGGGTCGACAGTCTCCGAGACGCCGAGGATGTCGAGTACGATGCGAGGAGTGGACCGGTCGTTGCCCTGGCCAACAATCATGCCGTCGCAGATGACGACAAGGAGCTTGCGTTTGTCATCATAGTGCATCCTGGCGGCTGAGTCGATAGCACGACGCAACGAATCTTCATCCTCAGTGTAGGCGGGAATTTGACACATGATGAACTTGTCGAGATTTTCGGGCATGTTCTTGGTTCCGAATTGCAGAGCGGCGAAGAACTTGAAGGCGATAATCGTGACGAGCATGATGGAAATAGCAAGGACCAGGTATTCGGCAAACTTGCAGCGAACCGAGCTTCGTGTGTCGACATCACCTACGTAGTAAAGATTGTTGAGACAGGTCAGCATCCGGGTCTTGGCTTGCTGGCTGAGGTTGAGCGAGGCCCAGTGTCTGGTAGCGTCTGCACCAGAAAGTTGTCGGAAAAGTCTGATGACATCCTCCTCCATGAAGTCAACAGAGTCTCTAGCAACGCCACTGACGTCCTTGCCGTCTTCTCCTACTGTCCGGCGACCTCCAACCACGTATTCTGTCAAATCGAACACACGGCCGTTCATGCTGACAATCGTCCTCGAGTTGCGCGCCAGAGTTTTCATGTATTTTGGAGAGTATCCAATACGACCCTTGAGGTAGTTTGCCCTAAGCATCGCCATCTGTTGGAAGTACCAATCCTTCCGCGTGTCGTTGGTAAAGTAGCGGAAGTCGTGGAAGTTGGCGTTGATGTCTTGCTGGCTGATCAAAGTGGGCGAGCCAGTCACATTGGTAGACCTGTAGTCGATCAAAACGGCGGGATCAATAGACCCAGCACGACCCTGGCACAAGGCGCTGACTTGGACGGGGAAAAGAGAGGTGGCATCCTTGCCGGCGTACTCGAGGATATCCTCTGTGGACACGAGGTTGGGGGGGTAATGACGGGGTGCGAACTTCTCCAGGTCGAAAACGTAACCGCGGATCGAGACATAGGCACCGGGGCTCCCACTGCTCCCGTCGTATGCCGAGAGTTCGGCGGCGCTGTAGACATGCTGACGAGGACAGATGAGCATGGGGAACACAACGATGAAAAAGGCAGCTAGGAGACAAGACAGCCAAATGATCAGGTTGATCGCCAGCTTCTCTCGCCAGGCCATGCGGACGTCCTTGCGAGGCATGCGGCCGATGAAGCGGATCAGGAAGTCGGGAATGAACCAAGTCAGGAGATAGACCATGAAGAGCCAGCGCTTGCGGCTGGCGCTGTCCCTGTATTCTTCGACCTCGACGAGGCTCTTCTCGTTGCCACGCTCGGCCATCTGCTCTCGAGTGTCAAAGTTCTTGAACATGTCTCCGCCGCCGAAGGCCGAGACACCAGCTTCCGAGCGGGAGTCAGATCCATCGTTCGCACCAAAGTAGCCGTTCTTGCCCTTTTCGCCGTACATGAGTGGCGTGTTGCCTGTAGACAGCAAACGCTCCTTTGAGGCAGCAAACGGGTCGGCGGGCGAGGCGCCGTGGGGTGTGAGGCCGTCGCCTCCGTCCGACGGCAGGCCAAACCTGCCATGTGCCGAGGAGGCTTCAGAGAGATGGGCAATCTCCATCCAGCAGCGCTCACTGACGAACACGCCAGTGGAGCCGATGCGGACTTCGTTGCTGGGCCAGCGCTTGTCCTCGACGACCATTTCAACCCTCTCTCTCTCACTTCCCATGAGGATCGTTTCGGCGTCCGCGAGACCCAAAAACTCTCCGAATGGAAGGAAAAGACTAAAGTCGGCGGACCGCAGCCTCTGGCTGATTTCGGCGATGCCGAAGGTTTGCACCTGCGTCCTAACGCATTTACTGTCGAACTGGCTTGCGATGCGGCGGTCATTGGGCTTGAGGCAGAACACAAAGTATGAGTTCGTGCTTGGGTCGGCCACAGCCTTCGTGACGTTATCGAGAGCTGCAAGGAACTGCCCAGAGGCACCTTGCTCAGACGCCGCGGCCTTAGCTGCTCCGCCGGCCTGCGAGTTGTTCTCGCTGAGTTTCTCGAGCTCCTCTTCGGCAGCCTTCTGCTGCAGAACACGCTGGTTGCGGGCCGTGCGGGCCGTCTTTCTCGACATGACACTTGGTGTCCTCATGGGCTTCGAGCTAATGGTCGCCTGCATGACAGTCGAACGCTCCTTGGGGTGAGTGACGGTCTGGAGAGCGTCCTGACCAAACAGGCGGGCAACGAATTCACTCTTTGTCGAGTTGATCATGTTGAGCAGATCGCCCGAGATGACCTCGCCATTCTCCTCGATCAGGCCCTTGACCTGATAATCGACCTCGCCAGCAAAGTGCTTCACCGTGAAGATGGGGGCCGAGTTTTCTGTGAGGAAGTTACTGCCGGGAAGCTTGGCAGTCGACGACCCGGCCGTGATGGCAGGGTTCTTCCCCTCGAAACGCTTTCGCATGCTTTCAAGGAACTGGATGTCAGTACGGTGACGGCGACTCTGGTCATCCAAGATGCTGAGGAGACCGTTCCCAGGCTTCAAGAGTCCGCGGACGGCATCAGAGTTGTCGAAGTAACTGGTCGCAGCAACGCTAACCTCTTCGTTCTCCAGCATATCAGCTTTGCGATCGAAGAAGTTCTGGAGGGTAAGGTTGTACAGGGCCTCGGTAGCGGAGTTGTTGAGCAGCTGGTCGAGGGCCGACTTGGTGGAGGCTTGCTGTTCGAAGCCAGGGAAATCAATGATGGAAACGGTGTTGGCCACGGCATCGTCGGCAGCGCACAGACGTTGATTGATGCTCTCAATGATGTAGGTCACGAGCAGAGAATAAATGGTCCGGGCAAGCTCGTTCGCGTGGGAGCGAGCGCCGTTCGGGTCCAGCATGACGGTGACACGCTCCTTGTGAATCATCTTCGTCTTGTAGGAAAGGGTGTTCTGCAGATCTTGGGCGTTGACGCCAAGGAAGGCGGCGATGATAGCCAGGACATCTTTGTTCTTGGCTGCTGTGACGACTGTAGCACCCTCGTGGGAGAAACCACCGCTGTCGTCGCCGGTTACCTGAGTGTTGGCGGATGACTCAAACTCTAGCTGACCAATGTGAAGAACGCTAGCGAGGATCTGGCAGATCTCGGCAATCTCGCTACGGGGAAACTCAAGCTTCTTGAGTGCGTTCTTGAAAACCTGGAAGCCCTCGGCATCATTGATGCCGACCTTGAGCTGGGTCGGATGACCCAGATACTTCCATCGCCTCTGCTGCACGCTGGAATCCTCCAGGCCCAAGTGAGTCTTTTCAGCCGGGCTGGTGCCGGCAAGGAGATAGTAAAGAACATGAAAGTTTCGCTCGCCCGTTGGAACGTCCGCAATCCGAGACCTCTCCAGTCGATGATCTAGAAGCTTACCGCCGATCAGGACAGGGTTCGTGGTCGAGGCGGTATCGTACTGGAGCTCGTAGAAGAGGCCAGCCTTGGAGGCGGTCGGCGTCGTCGCCGTTTTGGTTGTGGTCAGGGTGTCGAAGACGTAGGCGGCCAGTGACACCTTGGTGGAGAGAGGAGTCGAGGATTTGTTGAGCAGCGAAGCAAGGAGGTGGGAGCGAAGCGTAGACTTTCCTGAGCCAGACTCGCCACTATATAGAACAGAATTAGCAATTGACGGGTAACAGGAGAGCGAGGGAGAGCATTGCATACAGGAAGACAACAGCCTGGTTTTCGGAACGGTGGCCCAGCCTGAGCCAGGCGCGTTCAGCCATCTCCTCGGCGCCAGCCATGGCACTCCCCTCCTTGCCGCCGTCGGGGCCCTTAGAGGAAGAGGTGTATGTGTTGAGAGAGATCAAGGCATGGGAGGACAATTGAGCAGTCGGCAGCGACAGGTGGAAGCGGCTCGCGAGGTGTGCCGTCAAATGCGTATCGGACTGGAGATGTGCTGGGAGTGCTGGCAGCGAAGGTTGCGTGTGAGCCCCGCCACTGCCTGCCAGGGGAGGCAGGTTCATGGCCATGATGGGCAGGTTGCCCTGCGGGACTTGAAGCGGACGAGTGGTGTGCTTGGGTGCGTAGTTGTCGATGGCGAGCAGAACAGGACGCTGAGTTGATATCGTTGTGCTCGGGTCGTCGCAGCAGGTCGATGGGACGCTGTTACGGAAGCAACCGAGAGGAGATACGTCGTGCTCGGCGGCGAGAGGTATGAATTAGAAGAACAAGCGAGTGGATGTTCCAGTAGAGGAAGTTAACAGTGTACCAAAAGTCAGGTGAACGAATGTACGGACAATGTTGGTGGGAATGGGAGGGTAGGGAAGGAGAGATGAGGCGACGCAAAGACAACCGGCACGAGTGGCTTGTGGACGGAGGACGTTTCCAGGCTCTGCTCTCTCTGGGACGATCAGGAGCATCAGTCAGCCAGACGGACCGTGGCTTCAGGAGAAGGGATTTGTTTTCTTCGGGGCGTTAGGTCACGGCCAGGATAGGGGGGGTGTGTGTGTGGGTGTGGTGTGGAAGGAATACGTTGGGCGGGAGAAGCCAACTTGACCAAAGGGTCATCATACGAAGTTTGTGTGGGTGGCAGGGTCGGGTTGGCAGCACCCACTCGTGGGTTCAGCACCGCAACACGACGTGGCCCCGTTGTAGCTGGTGGGTACGTGCTGCATGAGAGATCAGGAGAGAGAGGCGCACTGTACAGTTCCAGCTTGGCCTGACGAGAAGTGGAGGACACCCAAGCATGGCGAGCCCGGGTCGAGACGCTGTGTGACAGGGTATCCTGGTCGGCACTTGGCCAAAATGCCACTCTCCGCCTGGGTCTCGATGCGAAAGCTTGATTCACAGCACAGTATGCTTTTCACGGTTATTGAACGACCCGCAAAATGAACCTGAGCCTCGCCATGACTTGCCACTGGAAAGCATGCTGTCAGTGTCCAGCGTCCAGCCACGCATGTATCTGGCATCTCACAATGGCGAATCGTAGACATTGAACATTGTTTTTGTTGATCGGGCTAGCAATATTGCAGGTCTAGTAGAGTCGCTGGCTCTCTTTGAGTTTATGTGGTGTTGATCTGTCTCTGCACGCTCCCGTCGGGACAATAAAGGGCAAGACCTGCCGGGGTGTCAAGATGCAGTCGAGATCATTCGATTGGTCCGGGAGCGATTAAACGTGGGCGGAGATGGCAATCGCCAACCCAGGCTTTCCCTTGAATATTTTGGTCCTACATCGGGAAGAGGTAATCGGTGATGGAGCCGCCCTTCAATGTAACGAGAGCCAAAGTTTCGGGCCAGCAGGAGGATCGCAAAGTGGTGACCAGGGGCAGCCGAACCATCAACAAAGATGATTAAGTTGAGCAGTAGGCAAGGAGAGACGGTGTGAGCAAGCGATGTTCCACGCACATGCAACTGGACCAGCGACATGCCCATTGCAATCCGCACAGACGGGGATGGGATTTATGGTCACTGTGACGCGTTCGGTATCGTCCCGTCTCTTGTTGACCCTTGGGGCCGTGTCGGGATGTTGTTGTTGTTGATTCACCTAGCACCGTCAAGGCTAGCGATCGATCAGTAGGTGATTGAGCGGCTTAGTCTTTGATTGGGTGAATGGTGCCGGCGGCGGCAGCAAGCAACACGCCATCTTGGGGGAAGCATTCAGAATGGAGGCGCTGAGACCCCCCCCCCCCCCCCCCCCCGGCAACTGGGAATTCCTTTCCCATGAGGATCTTGTCGTACCTGGCTGGCCTGGGCAAGGCAGGCACCTAGGTAAGGCATGGTAAGGTAGGGTAGGTAGGTACCTAGGTAAACACGGCAGGTTCAGACACTGAACACATGAATTCAATTAGAGCATTCCCATGATCGGCAAGGGGAATGCAGGACTGATGTGCGGCTCTAACCAATGCTGATAGGAGCTGCTGTGCTCGCACCGAGTTTGAAGCAGCCCGTCTGTCCTGGATGCCAGGCACTCTGCCTCTGGGACGAAAAAAAGGGGTCACCCCTAGGTTAGGTACGTAGGTACTCTAGGTACTCACTCCAGGCCCCTGAAGGGCTTCGGGGGTAGGAAGTAAGGCACCTAGGTAGTTAGGTTCGGGGGGTGCGACCTGTTCCAAGATCTCCGGGCACTGGTGGGCTCTGTGGACCCAGGGCATCGGCCGCTAAAAATGCGACACTGAGCGAACAGAGAACAGTGGACGCCGAACCTGCCAGGGATTGCTTGTGTGGTCGTTTACCTTGGTAAGGTGCCTAAAAAAAGCATTTTGCTGGCCCGCCCCAGCACCCACTTCGACTGGAACTCCAGTCCACCCCCACCATTCCACTTCACTACAGACGGTGCAGGATTTTCCTCTTACCGATCCAGCTCCCAGCTGTGGAGCCTGACCCAGACACACACACACACACCCACACCCAGCCTGACCCAGCCTTCCAGCATAGCCTCCGCATCTTTTCTCGGTTCCTGTCCGTCACGAACAAGAAAACGATGGAGCTTCATGCAAGTGCTGAGGGCCAGAAAGGCTGGCTGGAAAACGGTACTGCAAGCGGTAGTGAATGCACATCACCCACCCCGCCCCTCCCTCGGCCGATACGAACCGGGCTCGCCAGTTGATGATCTGCGGTGAGAACGACGGACTGGATGGCAGTCCAACAAGAGACGCCACTATGTGTTACAGGAGATGCACTCGGATTTCGACTTGGACTGACAGCCACCCAGGGGGGACCGGACCGCAGTCAGACGATCAAGCGCAAAAAGTCGTTGTTCCCGATCAGCAGCGAGATCTCGTTCAGCCATTGCTGACTGCGCCGCAAGAGAGGAGAATAGGGCATCCAGTATACCCATTGACAAGAATAGCATGACTGTCGTCACCAAAAAGTGGAGGGCAGAAACCCGTCCTGATGTTCGACAGCTAACGCTTCCCCGACCTCGCCGCCCGGCCTACCTCTGGCTGCCTGATCCAACACAGCGCTGCAGCTGCAGGTTGCAGTTCGCCGCCTCGTATTCACGCTGGTCTCTCCAAGAAAAGCATCGCACAGTGGGAGCAGAGTCCACCATCCATTCGTTCATTCTGGATCAGCGCGGAGACCGGCTCGTCTGCGGATGGAACCTCGAGTGCCCACCAAAAAGCCTCTTACAGCCTAGCCTCTGTGGACAGATGGGAAGCCCCTGGGTCAGGGGTCCGTGAAATCATGCTTTCTGTCGCACGTCTCCGAGAACTGCGCGTCTGTCGTCTGTCGTGCACCGCAGCCCGTCCATTGGCCCCGGAGCCCCCTGTCCTCGCTTTCTTTCTTGTCTGTCGTGGGCAATGTGGTGATCGAACCCTCTCAGGCCCCAGTCATTACGAGACCCAGAGTCCTTTCTGCCCGGCAAATCCCAATCCTCCCTCTGCTCTCCACTGCCACCTCTCGTTGTGTCTGAGGCAAAGCTGCTCGACATTGGGCTTCTTCCTTTCAGTTTCTCCCCTCCCAACCCTTTACTCGACAACCATCTCACTCGCTTTGGTGGTTGTTTCGATCCCTCTCATTGCCTGTTCTGTTCTTGTCCAGCATCAACTTGTCTCTTCTCGGGAACCACGACAGCCACGCCCACGCGTTGCCCAAGCGACCCAAATCAGACTTTCGATCCGGCCATCCAGCCAGCGCTTAACGAAATCTCACTCGCTACTCTTCTAATACTCCATTCGAATTCGACATCAAAGATCATAATAAACCGCCTACACTTTCCTGGGTCTTCCAACGAGGGCGCCGAGCCCACGCCATCCCCTTTTGACGTCCGGGTCCATACGCAGGCAACACCACCTGATCCTATCTGCCATCGCCCTTGAAGTCCCTGCACAGGGCAAGACTTCGCGAGCCCCCCGACCGTCAAGATGACGAACCCCAGAATGTCAATGTACTCTCTGGCCTCGGAGGCACCAGGTGGCAACAGAGGCACCGGCCAGCAATCGACTCAGGTGTCTACCACGACTCTTCTCAATGCCATTCATAATATCTACCTCTCCGCCCAGCCCTACAGGCTCGACGCTGGCACCAGCACTGTGGTCAACACCTGGCTCACTGCCTCGCAGACCGGTCCCAATGGCTCCATCGGAGGCACCGTCGATGCCTCACTAGGTGCCAGTGCCTGGGAGCATGCCAGGCGACGTGCTGAGGACGGCTGCATTGTCTTGGGGTAAGTCCTACCGAAGCTGATCCAACAGACAGAACGACGCGCTGACGAGATGAAACACAGCTCCCTTCACGAGTCCACACCGTCCGTTCTGGCTCCTTTCCTCTCCTCTCTGCCCATGTCCACGCCTTCGTCGCTCTACAAAGCTTTGGATGCCATTCAGCCTTTTCTGCGATGCTCCACACCTTACAACCCTTCGACGCCTCGGCAAGCCGCCCTCGGCGTTACCCTGACCATCAACCTAGCTGGCAATCTCACCGCTGCCAGCATCGCGTTGTCGCAGGGTGGTATCGATACCATGAAGGGCTTGATGAACATTCCTTCTGAGGCCGGCTACAGGGCTTTCGACGTATTCTATTACCTCCTGACGTCTGCCTCAACTCCCGCTGAGCGGGAGTTCCTAGGCCTCAAGCCTGCCTCGCAGTATGCCCTGCTGGCTCGCTCGGGTACCTACGACCCGCCCTCATATCTCCCGACCGCCGATGATGCTGCTGCCGCCGAGGACTTCAGGACCGCCCTCAAGGATATTGGCATCAAGGGTGCCTCGCACCGAAGCTTCATCTCAACGCTTGCTGGCCTCCTCAAGCTCGGTAACACGCTTGATTACAACGTCGATGAGGACGTTCTGGAAGATGTTTGCGAAGACGTGAGCGGTCTCCTTGGAATGGAACCCGAGGTGCTTATGAAACAATGCACGACCGAAGACCGTTCGACATTTGTTGGTGGACTCTATGAAGCCCTCGTCGATTGGGTCATCACGAAGGCCAACGCTGCCATCGCCGCCCAAATGACCCGCATCAAGGATGGCGCTGAGTCTCTCGACGGACGTGGGGTGCGAACACCCACCAGTAACGAGGAGGGTGAAGACACCGTCTGCATCAGTGTCATTGAGATCCCCAGCCCAACGCTCGGCAAGGCTTTGGCTTTGCGTGGCGTCTTTGACGATTCCATGGGCATCAACTCGGAGATGATTGCTGACGGCATCGAAGTGCCCGCCACTGGCAGCTCCGTGCTCCGTGAAATGCAAAATGCCGTTGCCGAGGTTGCTCCTGACCTGGGCATCAGCTCGACTCCAGCCAGCAGGGAAAGGCAACATGAGCTGGAGAAGAGGGAAGAGATTCTCGAGAAGATTGGTCTGTCCGCTGATGATGACGGATTCATCAAACAGCTGTTGTTCCCGGTCGCCGGTGAAGGCATTAACCTAGGCACCCACAGTCGCCTCGATTTGCCAGCCCTGCTTGCCTCAAGCCGTGTGTGGTACCACCTCTCTCTCCACCCCACCGATGACTCCCCAGCCAGCTTGGCTGCTTTGCCTTCTGTCACATCTGCTTGGTCGGCTGGTACCGTTTCTCGCCAGCTGCGGGCCTGGCGCCTCCCCGAGTGGGCCAACAGGCGCAACAAGAACCTTGATTTCACCGCTGACTTCGACATCGAAGAGTTTGTTCAGCGGTACTCGGCGCTAGGATGCAAAGACGGGCGGGATGGCATTGAGACGTGGCTCTTGGAGCGTGGCTGGAGCAATGGCGAGGTCATTGTCGGCAAAGAGCGTGTCTGGATGCGTGAGTCTGCCTGGTGGGAAGCTGAAAGCATGCTCGACCTCAAACCGTTGAACAACCTCCCTGGCGTTGGCAACATGATGGCTGTCAACCACCTCGAGTCTGGTTATTCAAACAATGGCAGTGGCTACTTCCCAGGCCAGGTCATTCTTGATGATCACAGCGGGAGCAACGGTGTCGTCAACCATCAGCGCAATTTTAGCCACGGCAACATGTCCCAAGCGACGTTCAACCAGAACCCTGTGGCAGCACCTTCGATCGCACCGACGCGTATGACGGGCATGACGGGCATGCGCAACGTCGCCGTTGGTGACTATGGCCTTGGGCACAAAGGCGACACCCACAAAGGCGCAGTCTACTACAACGAGGACGGTGAGTTCATTGGTCCTCTCGACCCTGAACTCGCCGATGGCAAGCAAATCGAGACGAAGTCTCTGCCGATGAAGCGTAGAGTCTGGGTCTTCATCGTCTGGGCTTTCACCTGGTGGATTCCTTCCCCATTGCTTCGCTACGTCGGACGCATGAAGCGGCCTGACGTTCGCATGGCCTGGCGTGAGAAGCTTGTTCTTTGTTTCTTCATCTTGTTCTTGAACGCTCTAATTGTCTTCTGGATCGTTGCGTTCGGCCGTCTTCTGTGTCCCAACTTCGACAAGGCATACTCTCAGAAAGAAGTCGATACCCACCAAGGACAAAGCGACTTCTGGGTCAGCATTCACGGCAAAGTTTATGACATCTCCAAGTTTTGGAAACAGCAACACTCGGACCAAGATATTGAGACCACACGGGAAAACATGCTTCCACTCGCCGGCATGAATCTCGACGACTATTTTGTTGCTCCTCTGCCCCTGACTTGCCCTGGCCTTGATATCGAGGACTCTTTCCGCCTCGATCTCAACAATACCTTGGAATTCCAGATTGCTGCTCACACATCTGGCTACTATCAGTCAAACCCTGTCACGAAGCTTCGAGCCGCAGATTGGTACAGCAAACGTTTTGAACCCAGAATCAAGGAATACTTCCACGGCGATCTAGTTTGGTCCAAGGGGACAGTCCGTAAGCAGGGCGAGAACGACGGACGCCAATGGGTCATTTACGACGACAAGATTTACGACTTGACCAACTACTTCCACACGCAAAAGCGTCAGAAGAATCTGGGTGGCTCCACTTTCTTGAACGAGAAGCTTATCAACGTGATCAAGCAAAATCCTGGCGCCGATGTCACCGATCAATGGAACGACGTCTTGGAACGGGCCGCCGGTAACGCCACTGAGAACCAGAGCGTTCAGAACAGCATGAACTGCATCCGCAACACATTCTATAAGGGTATTACAGACTTCAGAGAGACGCCCAAGTGTACTGTCAACAACTGGCTGTTGCTGGCTTTCAGCATCATGTTGTGCGCAGTCATTCTACTCAAGTTTGTATCTGCACTGCAGTTCGGTTCCAAGAGGCGCCCCTCGCCGCAAGATAAGTTCGTCATTTGCCAGGTGCCCGCCTACACTGAGGGTGAAGAGTCCCTTCGAAAGGCTCTTGACTCTCTCACTGCTCTTCAGTACGACAACAAGAGAAAGCTCATCTGTGTCATCTGCGACGGTGTCATTGTTGGTCAAGGCAACGACCGCCCGACGCCTAAGATTGTTTTGGACATCTTGGGTGTCGACCCCAAGATCGACCCTCCCGCCCTGGCCTTCAAGTCCGTCGGTACTGGAAGCGAGCAGCTCAATTACGGCAAGGTTTACTCGGGTCTCTACGAATTCGAAGGCAATGTCGTTCCCTATCTTGTTGTCGTCAAGGTTGGCAAGGAATCCGAGCAAAGTAAGACGAAGCCTGGCAACCGTGGCAAGCGAGACTCCCAGATTCTCCTCATGAGCTTCCTCAACCGCGTCCACCACCGCTCTCCAATGAACCCGCTTGAACTCGAAATGTTTCATCAGATCAACAACATCATCGGTGTGGACCCCGAGCTATACGAATACCTCTTCATGGTCGACGCCGATACCTCTGTCCGCGAGGACTCGCTGAATCGTCTTGTTGCCGCCTGTGCTAACGATGGCAAGATTGCTGGTATATGTGGCGAAACAGCTCTGCAAAACGATGAAAAGACCTGGTGGACTATGATCCAGGTCTATGAGTACTTCATTTCCCACCACCTGGCCAAGGCTTTCGAATCGTTGTTCGGCAGTGTGACCTGTTTGCCTGGATGGTACGTCCCTTTCTCCCCCCGTCTCGCCGTATTTACTCTTCGCTAACAGTCTTTAGCTTCACCATGTATCGCCTGCGTACCGCCGATAAGGGCAAGCCTCTCATCATCTCTGACGGCGTCATTCAGGAGTACAGCGTATGCGATGTCGACACATTGCATAAGAAGAACCTGCTGGCCCTTGGTGAGGATCGTTACCTGACGACCCTGATGACCAAGCATTTCCCGTTCATGTCCTACAAGTTCATTCCCGACGCATACTGCCAGACCGCGGCACCGGAGTCATGGAGCGTTCTCTTGTCCCAGCGTCGTCGCTGGATTAACTCAACGATGCACAACCTGTTCGAGCTGATGCAGCTCAAGGAGATGTGTGGTTTCTGCTGCTTCAGCATGCGTTTCGTCGTCTTCATTGATCTCTTCGGAACCATCATCCTCCCCGCCACGTGTGTCTATCTCGGCTACCTCATCTACCTCGTCGCTAGCGGCACTGGCCAGTTCCCCTTGATCTCCATCATCATGCTGGCAGCCGTGTACGGTCTCCAGGCTTTGGTTTTCATCCTCAAGCGTCAGTGGCAACACATTGGTTGGATGGTGATCTATATCTTGGCTTTCCCCATCTACTCCTTTATTCTGCCGATCTATTCTTTCTGGAACCAGGACAACTTCTCGTGGGGAAACACGCGTATCGTCATTGGAGAGAAGGGCAACAAGCAGATCGTGGCCGTCGATGATGAGGGCTATGATCCCCGCAGCGTTCCTCTGCAGCGTTGGGATGATTATGCCCAGGCCAACCAGCTACCTGGTCGTCGCGGCGGATACCCTGAGAAGTACGAAGGCGAATACCAGGACCAGTACGAGATGGACGAAATCAAGTCTGTCTACTCGTCTGTCCGCCAGGGATCTGTCATTACGGGCATGCAAAACCGCCAAAACCCCTACATGCCCCCTCAGTCACCTGCGCTCTTTGGCACGCCCAGCCCCGGCCACATGACCCGGCATTCGACCATGACTGGCGCTGGACCCTTTGCTGATCCCCATCTGGCTCATCGTCAGTCCATGGCCTCCATGGGCGCCCATGACATCCAGCGAACCCAGTCCCCGTACGCCGATTACCCTGCCCGTTCCATGGGCAACCTCCATGGTCACGCCAGCAACCCGTCTCTGATGGGCGGCAACCGCTCTTCTACTGCCCTTGGCTTCGCCGGCGGTAACCGCGCTGCGGAGGCTTCGTCGTCCACCTTTGATTTCCAGCGTGGTCTTGCCGGGCCTGACGATGGCATGATCGTCGAAGCCATCCGCAGCGTCCTCATGGAGGTCGATCTCGACACGGTGACCAAGAAGCAGGTGCGCGCCCTGGTGGAGCAAAGACTGCAGTCCGAGCTCGTTGGTGAGAGGCGCACTTTCATGGATCGCCAGATCGACCACGAGCTGGCCAACATGTAAACACCACCTCTACACTCCATCGGGCTCGCTCTTTTTGATGCCCCGGTGTTTTATTGTCCGGGGTCAACCTGATAAAAGATATATAATTACATCGCCACGGCCGCAACTCCCTCGCGGGTCACGTTGATGGGAACCTCCACGACCATGGAGAACGGGATAAAAGGGGATGGGGACGGCACTGGGAAGAATTCGGCGTTCGAGCGAAGTCTGCTCCTGCTACCACATGCGCGGACTCTTTTTTTTTATTCTTCCTGTCTCTTGATTTTGTTGAACGCGTCTTTCTTATCACCTGGTCGTATAGTGTACGGAAATAGTTGTTTCGGACCTTTGACTGCGAGGGTTTCCCTGGTGACCGTTTGATCGGTTTCGCAATAATAGCCTGAATTGAACAGCATCCATTGAATACCGTGCCTGCCATGATGAGATGTAGGTACCCGGCCGGAGAACGTTCGAGTGAGTTGAGTACGCAACATCACATCAGCTTCGTGTGCGACGATCGAGGGCTGTACTTCATCCAAATGGCGGGACACGCATGACTATGGCTCGGGACGGTGGTCATTTCTTTCCTGTGCGTCCCATTCATCAATCAGTATGAAGCATAACTCGGTGCCCCAGACACGCTTCTCTTTTGGAAGTACACAGCTCATCACCACACACTCTGCACTAGGCAGGAGGCAAGTGGCAGAAGGGGTTCAAGAATGACGTAAATTACTTCATTGTGGAGATGCAGAAACAATCCAATGCTTGCTTTCGCACCAAACACCCGCCAGAGCTCAGCCGGCAGACCTCTCATCAGGCCCGACTTGGTCGCTCAGGGGTATCTTCTGACTACTTTTGCTTCGAACCAAACTAAATCACAATGACCTGAACACGTGCCTCAAGCTTCACGTGTTTTTTCCCAGGCCTCCTTCCCACCTTTACCTGAGCAACTTGAAAGACAAGTTGGTAAGCGAATCGGAATTTTCATCCGATCAAATCGCCAACAGAACTCTCTACCATGGCATTTATTTCACTGCCAATAGAAGCGTTGCCCATTGCTTGGAGGATTGATAGGCCCAGCCTGTGTCGATGCCGGACCATAGCCGTCGTTACTATGGTACGATGGCGGGGGTGGGTTCTGCTCGCCATTGCCCCACTGGAGATATTGCTGATGAGGCTGCTGATTGTGCCCAAATGCCGGCGGGAAGCCAGGTGCAGTGTGGTGGTGCTGTCGATATGACTGAGTATCATCAACTTGCGTGTGGTTCTGCTGGTGTTCCCCTCCCGTGGGCGGCGCATGCCCATTATGATCGTGCCCTGGCCGAGCGCCATTAGCTACGCCTTGCTCAAGATTCATCCACCGTTGCTGTGAGTGGCTTGCAAAGGTATAGTTCCCGCCCATGGTGCCATTCGCCGTCGACAACTCGTGCTGTCGCTGCTGGTTCTCAGGGGGCCAACGATTATGTCCATTGTTCGCATATGTCCCATGGCCCGGAGTGCTGCTTTTGCCCTTTTCATAATCAACCCAACGCTGCACTGCTTGGTTTTCGGGCCCTAGGTAGGATACTTCGTTGCCGGCATTTGGGTCCCAGATAGGAATTCCGTCCGCGGGTTGAGCCTCGCCTCGAGGTAAGCCTCTGGTGTAGGTCGCAAGGTTGCCGTTGATACCAATGAGAGCCCAGGCAAAGACAGCAACGTCTCGGATCGAACTCATAAGCTGGTCCAGAGGCGGACCGCCGACGGCCTTGGCAGCATCGTCGTAAAGAGGCGGCTGCTGTGAAGTGTATGGCGGCTGGAAGTTGTATTGGGCTCCAGGCGGATACTCTGGTCGAATGGGCTGTTGACCCCAGGGAGCGGCGAAAAGACCATTCTCAAAGCTATGAGGTGGGACCAGTGGCGGGTGTGAGGCTGGAATGGGAGGACGCGCACGGCGAAGAACAACGACAAGCCCATCCGACGTGCATGAAACAACGGCCTCAAGTTCCAGTGGAGCATTGAGTGTGCGTCTTCGACGGGCACGAGGTGTAGGGCCAGACTCAGGACTGGGACGGCTTGGTCCTGTGCGCGAACCGGCGCTGGGAGGGGTCTGGTAGGCGCCGCTACTGGAACCAGACTCCATGGCAACTGCGTTGGAGGCGGAACTGATGCTAGACATGGACTGTTGGGAGTCCTCGTGCTCCATCTTGATCTTCGGGCTAGAGGGCTCGATATCGATGTCCATATGGGTGTACAACCGAGCTCCTCCTCCCTCCGAGTCGCTGGAATTGATGCTTCGACGTTCATCTTCCTCCTCCTCCTCATCCTCTTCGTCGAAGTCTTCCTCTCGACGGGGGTCCCGGTACCAAAAGCGCAGGTAGGCAATCGAGTCGTTTGCCTTGGCGCTCTCGAGGCATCGTATGGCATCGGGAAGACAGTTTTCCTGAATACATTCATAGAAACTCTTGTCTTTGATCTGGTCAGGACGTACACCAAGAATGGTAGACACGGCGTTTGTCGCAAACATGACTGTCAGTGTCCTGGTAAATCGGTTCACGATGAGAGCGGCTCTGGGTTCCCGTTCTGTCGGCTGCGTCCGGAATTTTGGGGATAGGTGCTCTAGCATGTGATATCGAGGATCACGAGGAGAGCTCGAGAAGAGCCGTCGAATCTGAGGCGCTTCAATGGCGCGTCCTAGTGGGGTTCCGGTCAGCAATGCAAGAGCAGGGGCGTGATAGCTGGGAATGTGCACATACTCTCGCTCTTCTCGCCTCGCCGATACACGCTGGTACAGGCAACTAGAACATCGTGGACGACTGTGAAGCAGCACTCGCAGCTGACCCACTGGCCGGAGCGTGACAATATGCGAGCATAGTGAAGGACTGCCGCCTTGTCGAGTTGAACGCCGCGGTTATGGACGGAGCGGGCAAAAGGCACCTCTTCAGGGTGGAAGTATTCAAAGCAAGACCTGTCCTGCACCTCGTGAGGGTGGTAGCCGAGAATATCAAAGATCGACTCGGAGGCGAAGAGGATATTGGCTTCGGGAGAAAGGTCTGGATACGCACGTGTCAGCCAAAATCTGGGTGCGGAAAAAAATAGGACGAGCGACAGCACGAGGTTGAGCGCGGTAGTGGCATACTGTGAATGGTCATGAAAGTTTGCTCCATGACGATGACGGCGACAACGGGTCGAGCCGATGAGTGCGAAGAGTTTCTCAGTTCGACAATGTGGAAAATGATCGGGCAGAGAAGGGTCGAGCACTTGCGACTTGACTTGGCGCAGAGGTACGGGATCCAGACACACGACTCGTGATGGTACGGATCGATTGTTTCTAATCCGAGATGACGAGGAGACTTGTGGGTCAGGGTACCTCAAAGCACTGCAGGACCACTCGAATTCTCGTCGCTAAATGCGAAGCTTGAAGACAGAGCGTCTCAAGAGACGTGACAGACTGGCAAAGCGACGACGCGCCAGCGAAAAGGGCGGGCTGCTGATCGTCTCAGCTGAATGCTGTGTCGCTGGGAAGAGAGAGGAGGGCCCAGCAACAAGCGGGGGAGAAGGAAAACGGAGATGAGGCGATGACAATCGCAGATGCGGTGGCAGCAGTTTGGGGATTGTGATCGTGTGGCGCGCGATCGGAGGCAGTGTGCCTGATACCGAATGGCACGTCAAGGCGAACACGGAGGGGTATCTGATCGATGATGTCGGCAGGGTGCTTGACTACTGATCTTCTGATCTGCCGCTGGTTGGCTACCAATGTCTACGAACCGTGGCCTCGAATCAAGCCGGCCGAGACAGTGATGATGTTGGGCGTGAAGGCGAAGGGAACGAATAGGTGGTGGGTGAAGAGGAAACACACATGCGATCGATGTGCCGACTTGAGCTAGCCTGGCCACAGTCGCCAGGGAAGATGCTGTATGATATATGCGTCGGGCTGCAGGACAAGGCCGGCTGTGGTTGTCGTGACTGTGCTATGTGCGGGTGGCTTCCACCTCGCCAGGATCAGGTACCGACGACCGAATGACGAGGGGGGAGAAGAGAGCAGAGTGTCCAAGCTGAGGGGAGCCAAGGCACAAGGGTCTGGGTCAAGCTGAGCAGAGGCACTGGGCTGGGTTGTAAGACGGTGCACAATGTTGTGGCTCGGGTCTAGACTGGGTCTGGTGCGGAAGTGGGCGAGCTTGAGATGTGACAGCAACAAGGCCAGGTATCGTCGAGGTAATTACCGGACCTGGATAAGAGCAGCTGGGCAGTCACAGGCAGTCACAGGCAGTCATGGGGAGAGACGAGAAGAGGGGAACTGTGAGGTCAGTGCTGTACAGTACCTACCTAGGCTTGCTAGGTAGGGGCCTTCCTGAGGACTGATGGCCGCAAGGATTCAGGGTCCTTCTGGCGGCGCGAGTGGACGGGGAAGTGCAGGCGCGAGTGCTCGGTGCAGGTGCAGCCCATTGCGCCTGGTGCTGCCGTTGTCGTTTGTCAGCCTGCCGTTTACCGTTGGCGCACGGCTAGAGGAGGGGGGGGGGGCCTAGGCACAAAGCCTAGCAGGTGGCGAACCTTGCCCTAGCACACGCCGTTTCGTGTCATTTTCGGGGCTGATAGGCTCTGGGCACGTCAACAACTTGGAAGGGATGCCTGTCGTTGTCGTCAGGCACAGTCCCGGCACTGTCAATCGCAGCATCTGGTAGAGGGTCACTGCCAGAGCAGCTCTACGGCGAGGCCTCATCCACTTCCTTCACGAGAAAATGTCGCGGGCGACAACGTCGAACTCGTCATACAACACCCGATGATTGTCGGGGACGGACTGATCCCACCCTCAAATCGGCTGCTCGCTAAGCAACAAAACCCCCTTTCTTGACTGGGTGGCGGATTGTTCGAGTCGGTGATTTATTGAAGCCACAGTGTGCGCCGGTTCCTGTATCGCTCTCAATCGGGAAATCCCATGGTCCTCTGTGTGAGACAGCTCGAGGGCCCAGCTCGAGGGCCCAGCTCGCGGCCAATGCACCCTGCGGACAATTCTCCTACCCCCCGGTCTCGCCTCGAGGACAGTACCGCATCGCTCCCGTTGTCAAGCTGCCCCACAAGCCGCAGTCAGGACGTACATGTAGCCTGTCAGCCCAGTCATGACTCTTGGAGGAGCCGGATTCGCGCAAAAGACGTTCCAAGTACCATGCCCCCCCATATCCTGTCAGTTGCTTTTTCAGGAAAAGTTTGCGAGATGCCGGAGATAAATCCAATTTGGTCCGTCTCTCCCGACGTGACAGCGGCTGGGGCATCCCAAAGCTCGATGAGCCGCAACCCTGACGTGCATGGGCATCGGTCGGCCGAGGAAATAGTAATCACCAACTCAATTGATGCGATGTTAGTCGCTCGCTTTCAAACTGTAAATCGTGGTGTAACGGCCTACGACAGGTTGACATAACTTTCTTGTCGTCCCCCCTCCTCAGTGAATCGCAGGATTCATCCGCACCTTGTCCGCGCGAGCTCGGGTGTCGGGGTTTCGTCTGGCCCATCGTCGCAACGTTGCCCAGAACCCTCTGCCGAGCGCGCAAACAACCTGGCTTATTCATCGGAAGAGGATCATGTTCCAGTATTCTGCCGCACAAGTGCGTCTCCGGCGTAAAGCAGAGACAAGCGTCAACCCGCCAAGCCTGTTGACGCTTCGTCTATTCCACTCGAGTCTGAAGTACCGTACAGGTGGGGGGGTTCACGTCATCCCATGAATCCACACGCGACAACCGGCCATCCATCGCCCAGCGGGGAAAAGGTATCAGGAACCACAAACTACGAGGCGAGGTGCGTGCCTGCCGTCCCTACATGGATGAGACCGAGCCTTGGGTATCAATAGAATGCTTGCATCTCGATTCAACGCGTGTCGCGCCCAAGTCCGCCTCCTTCGTGACTCAGAACTAAACCTCCATACATGCGTGTACAGTATCGCAAAAGAGTCAGTCAGCGATATGTCATGTACAGGCTTTCCAGCACGAGGCTACTCCGGGCAACCACCTCGTCCACCATATCGAGGACCAGTGTGACTTGGTTGGGTCCTCCAGTCGCCTCACCTGCCCCTACCAGCATCAACACCGAGGCTCAAGCTTGCATCGTTCAGTCATGTCGATCCCCAGTAGGTGACATCTCTTGATACTCATGTGGCCAGGGGGCGTGACGGAACTGATGAATGCGATTATTGTGCCACACGACTCGGTCTCCGATCGCGAGCTGTGCCTGCTCAGTAGCGGAACTTCGGGATAGGACGACATGCTCAAACGCTTGGCGAATGTTCCACGGCAGCCAGAGGTGTTTGACAACTCCAAAACCGCGTATTTATCTGATCAGAGTGCATGAGACTACTACATCCATGCAGAACGAGGGGACACTCAGCCCACAGGTGCCTTACCCACAATTGCCCATGATCTATGATCTCTGGCATGTGACATCTTTCTTCATAATCGATTGAAGCGGTAAAGCTACGGCATGAAATGCTCGAGATGGAGGTGACGAGGCGCCTGCGTACTCCTGCTTCTTCTTCAACCCATCATTGGCCATTCGCCTCTCTCTGTGAAGATTGTGCAGCGAAGATGGAGATCTGGTCTTGAGAAGCGACTTTCATAAAGCTGGTGAGCTTTCTCCCTGTTTCGTCTGGCGAGGATGATGCTTGGCGGCCAAGGGCGATCATCTGCGCCTCGTCTTGAGAGTCGAAGCTTCTCGTGCGCCTCGCGGTTCGAATTCCGGTGGATGTTCTGCGTGGTCCATGGCATCTTCCTCGTCGACTTTGCCTTCAAATGATACCTTGAAAAAGATACATTCTTCGTAGATGGAAAGGCATTCTGAGGGCACCTAGCCCCAAGCTTGGCTCAAGCACAAAGCCAGGATGGGGTCCTTGGATTGGGCCATGACTATTGTGCCAGGACTGCGAGTGTTCATCACCGCAACAGCACGGAGGCACATCGACCCAACTCCGGTCAAACATATTTGGATCCGACTTTGTAATGCCAAGGCTAGATGACTTGTGATTTCCTGATCTCCTCCATGCGAGATGCGAGATTGTGCGCGCCGAGGCTAGTCTCCAAAGCAAACTTTTGAAAATGGTCCTGTCCCAACGCCCCAAAGGCTGTTCCATGAGCCTCAATGCTTTTCTTGCCCCCTCCCGATTCGTAACCGTACAACGTACACGCCGTATCCTCATGGCTGCGTTGGACAAACTGTCCGCTCTTATCCCTTTTCTTTTCACTCCTCGTCTTCGTGATTTTGTGCGAGCATAAACGATCTTTTGGTTTAACGCAGGCGCCTGGCCTCGCGCTCGGACTCGAGGAGGCAGAGGATGTCGTCCTCACGGACTAGATGAGCATGTTAGCATAGCTGGGGGTGGCGGCGATAGACAGGATGGAGGCTTGAGGGGCTGCGTACCGGGACCTTTGACGTTGCGAATGATGGAACGGGTTTGATCGTCCATGAACTCGACGCGAACCTGTGTGACACCACCACGAGAGCCTGGCGCCCGGGTCAGCCTGGAGTTTTTTTTTCCCTTTTGGTCGCAGTTTCGTCGTGGGGTTTGTCGAGTCCTTTGACGCCTGCTCAAGGGCACATACCGGTTCGGCCAAGGACACGAGTGACCTTGACGAGCTTGACGGGAACCTTGGAGGAGTCCATTGCGCAAGTTATGGAGGAATTGTGCTTCGGCGGGCGAGGAGCGGTATTCTAGTGATATCAGCGGACTACTGAGTGGTGTTCAGTGAACTTGGCCTGGGTGTGACGGAACAGTAGCTTAGGTAAGCCTAGACAGAGTCCAGCTAAAACCACATTCAGATGGGCAGAAGTAATGTAGAGAGACTGCCCCCATCCGCATGCTATATAAACTCTTCGCAAACTAGGTAGTGCTTGAGTCAAGACAAGTACTAGTATTGAGCAGTAATCCCTGTGAAATTGGCGTTGTTTCCTCAAAATTGATTGGACTCGATCTCATCGAGAGGTGCCCTTCTGTCAAACTTCGACAAGGATTCCATCAAAACTGTGAGCAGGCTGATCATCTGTCCGGCTTATGCTTCCTGGCTCTCTAGCTGTCTGATGTGGTCCTGCGTGGCGGCCAAATATTATGACACTGAGTAATTCTGGCCTGTCACTGTCTTGTTGTCTCATAAGCTGACAGCCTTTCATTTAACTTTGTCGTGATGCCTACATATACCTACCTTACCTAGGTAGCTTGGGTACCTTACCTCGTGTGCTCGGGTCATTGGCCGTCCAGCTTCAGTAGTGTTCTGCACGTGGTAAGGTGACATAATCATACTGGCAGGCCCGCGCTTATGTCATCCGACAAGGCTGAAGACCAGAGCGGCTAGCGGCCTTATCACCTTAGGCACCTGAAGCAACATGCCCAGAGTTTCGCTCTCAGCGGCTGACACGCCTCTTCGGCGACGTGGGCCACAATGTCAGAGGAAGGGTCGTCGGAGGATTCCTGGCCCCCACATGCAAGATGGTGCGTTCTGGAACGCTGTTGTCGATTATGCCATTATGATTTAATAGAGGGCGAGAAGATATGTTTCGGCAAGCATCGACCCCCAGACCTATCGACGGTTCAAGACTTGCTAATGTTGCCTCTCCCGTAGCGCTTGACCCTGCTGCTGACGCAGTGTCGTGCACATTCGAGTTTGAAAATCGAGGCCAACATTGTCTTGACAAGGAGAAAGATATTGAATTCCACCTCAGATTCGGATCGGTTCAGTGCGGCATCTGTGATGAACATTCGACCACATTTTGCCTCCATCTCGATTGTCGCCCCTTAATGCGCTCCGATACTAGTTGCTCGTGCTTCGCCGCCAGTAAACATGCCTTCTTGCCGCCGCAAATTGAGCAGAGGCGTCGCTCTCACTATATCCAGAACGCCCTTGCCGCAAATCTGTGTCGATCTGATATAGCGCCGAAGCTTCCACCCGAGATTTGGCGTTTGATTGCTGGGTACATGACCCGCTATTGCGCCGCTATCACGACGCAAGAACTTGAACGTGTTTATCCGAAGGTCATAGATCACGAGCTCGACCTACAACGACCAATATACGCATCATATCTCAAGATCGACGGGAATATTTACGTTCGTGATCTGCTCCATGCAGCACCGACTATCAATTCTGGCACACAGACATGCCTTTACATGCCATCGAGTATATTGTCAAAACCACTCCATACCGATATATATATAGCTCAAGATCATTTGGGCATACGCCGAATCGTTTTTCTTGCATCAACAGATCGCAAGATCTGGTGTGACAACCAAAACTTGGTTCCGGGAGTCTGGTGGCGAAAGCTTACTGATGTTAACACTTTCGCGACCATTCATATTCAGGGCGATGTGAGTCACATGATGTCAAGGCTTTCCCCTTGTTGTTTACGTTGGCTCCGTTGATTGATACGAAACAATACACAGGGTCTCAAGGTGAGACAGGTCGAAGGCCCATCGGAGCAAGCACTACGTGACCCCCTCGGGCAACTGCTCTGGCAAGCTCCTTTGGCATCCTCTCCTGGACTGGTCTCGATTGTGACTCTCGAGAGTCCGACCCCTTGGCCAAGTCGCCGTCGCATGAAGTTTTTTGAATGCAACCACCCTGATGCTGCTGGCTACCTGGTAACATGCACCGGCTTTGAGGTTTACGATATCGCTGTCCACAAGCGAGACGAGAAACCGCATGTGAACCTCTGCGATGATATGCCTTATCGACGTCTGCACTGGATGTACATGCCACTAGACGTGGGAGAGCACATTACGCATATCTCGCGACAGCTCGACCATGATGGCGAGTTTCGGATGGTACGCACTGGCCTTACGGTATGGCATGTCCAGAGACCAGCTGCAAAAGATACTTGCTGATATGATTCCAGTTTACCACTAATAAAGGGCGTAACACAGTGTTCGGTGCTTATGCCACACAAGCCGACGAGGTCTTCAAGATGCCACGCAACATGACCAGGGTTTACTTCAATTGGTGGGACAACCCAGGCGTGCACGCAGGTCTCGAATACATCGCCCTTGAACCAACAGCTCAACACAAAGAAGCCAATCACTATGAAGCCCCGGAGCTTCCAATTGCCCTCGGCGTGCACTGCCGCAAGCCACTTTTTCACGCATGGACGCGAACAGCATGCTCTTTGGATGAAGTATCTGCAATCCAGCCTTGCGTCCAACGCACCGCGCTCTTCGTTCGTGTCACCGGGATGATGGTAAGCTACACGAACGGGCATCGCGAATGTGTTGGACAGTTTCGGCCAGATTGGGCAGCTGAATGGGTTCCCTTAAGTGAAAGAAATACACTCTTCCTTCGCTATGCCCGGGTTTCTCGAGGAATACCTATCATCACTGCGGTCTCATCGCAAGCACCATGCGAAACCAACAGTATTGGTTGGAAGGGTGTTCTGCTGTCTGGCATTCTAGAGTGGTGGTTCGCCGGTGGTCACCCGGCCTTATACCATAATGGCAAGGATATTGAGGTGCATGAAGTACCAAGCCAGTAGCGATGTAAGTGTGGAGGATGAACTACGGTCAGACATCATGCACAGGGGGTGAAGTTATTGACTTCGCGGACGAAGGAGTGGCGAAGACTGCTGTTTGAAAGAGCCCATGGCTCTGCTTCAGTGCTCTAATCGAGTGCTTTTCCACCGCCCCATTACGGAAGTTACTATACATCTGAAAGAAGACATTATTCTGCAAGGTAGAGAACGCAGGCCACGATGTAGACCCGGGAGGCCTGTCCATGACGAACGGGTTGAGGTTGAAGACGTTGTCTGGAATGAAGTCGCGAAGGCACGTGATGTGGTTTGCTGGTAGGTGCGTCGGCGCACGATCAACCCCTCAGGCTTTGTACCTCTCCCAGTTACAGTGGGCTTAGGTCGTTGCTGCGCCTGCAAGCTACAGCATGGTGCACTGACCAGCGATATTGACCTTTCAGTCGCCTCTCAACACCAGGACGCCGGGACTGGCATCTGGGGGCTCCACGAGAACCATTAGGCACCCAAGGCGAACGATCTCGCAGCCTCGGCGACGTCGTAACAAACATCACGTCTCATCGCTCGAGCGTGCATGTCTTTCCTTCTGAACTCGTCATGGCAATAAGTCGAAACGATGCCTGCCTCTACCCCAGAAACCCACCCCTACGACCTTCCAAAATTACGCGTCTCATTCACGCCAGAAGTATGCAGGGGCGAGGAAGAGACCAATAATGTACAACTTCTAACAATGCGGATTAGGATGACACGCGATTCCTCTCGCAAGAGGACAACGTACCAGGTTGTTCATGGTCCTCCCTGTTCATCTTGTTGTGCTGACCAGAGATAGAATACTTTGCTGTCCAGTTTTGCCCGTATCAGCCAGTCGACGCAGATCCAGTATTCGCCGCTGTCAGCAAGAAGCACGTGAGTGCAACCTGAAGTCTCTTTTTTTCGCGATGGACCCGGGTGGTGTCATGTGCTGAACAGTGAGCAGGTTCTTCTGTGCCGGTTGACGGCCAACGACGACACCCAACCATATACCATCATCAAGGTCATTCGCGATGACGATGTGCGTGCCCGTGAATCCATGGGCCCTCCCTCCACTGACTCGACAGGCTGATTCTCGAAATTACACCTGCACTTGGTCGCAGGACAAGGAGACAGGCAAGCCATACCTGTGCCTCAGTGGTGAGGATGCCAAAATCAAGATTTACGATGTCACCGAGGGCACGCTCGTCAACGTGAGTTGCTTCCTTGAGAGCATTCGACGATTCAAAGCTCACTTCAAACAGGTTCTAGTTGGCCATGGAGGCGTGAGTACCCTTTAGGCCATGGAGTCAAGACAGGATCTCACTGTCACAGGATATCAACGACATGGTCACTTCGCCGATCAACCCTCTCGTCATTGCAACTGCTTCAGATGACACGACCATCCGCATCTGGAGTTTAGACCCCGACCATAAGGACATGCCATGCCGCTGTATCCTGGGTGGCGAAGGTCATCAATGGAGTTTGCTGACTCTGGTATGAGCGCCGAAGTCTTGTTTGTATGTAGGCCAACCCACTGACAAGCACGGTGCTAGGCGTTCCACGACAGCGGACGTTACATGCTCTCCGCGGGGCATGATCAGATTGTGAATCTAGTAAGTTTGCAACGGCTACCGCTAGGCCTTTACGGCCTCTTTGAACTGTGTGCTGACAACCTATCAGTGGACGCTGCCAGATCTTCCTACGGGAACCATCCAGCAACCTTTAGAAGTCCACTATCCTCACTTCTCCACGAATGAAGTCCATAGCGGTGTCGTCGACTGGTATGTCGACCCCAGCACGGAAGAAACCAAAGCTGACCTTGCAGCGTCGCCTTCTTCGGCGACTGGATCCTCTCTCGTGCCTGCCATGACGATATCATTGCACTCTGGCGTATCGAAGGCTTCTCTTCCAACGACCCACCGCCTCCTCCTGAGTCGGCCCCTACTACCATAAACCCTGAGATGCTGACGCGGTCCGCCTTCACCAAAGACTCGCCTGACCAGCACGCCTCCCATTCCCAGTACACCCGCCTCCTCACCTTCTTCACGCCCGGATCTGGTAACATGTTCTTCATGCGCTTCAAGCTCCACCATATGCCCGGCCACCACCCAGTGCTCGCGTTCTGCAATGCTAATAGCAAGATATTC